AATATTTGAAATTTTTGTAACAGATGCATAACATTGTACACATTTATGAGTAACCATGCAAGACGAGTGTACGTTGCAGTGTTTAAACGAGGAACACACGCCTTGTCATGGTGGTCACGTGCCACCCGCCAGCACTACTGCCCTACAGCTCAGCACCCACTGACATCCCGCACCCCCTCCACTCTTTCTCTGATAACCACCATTTTGCTCTCGGCCTAGATGAGAACACTTGTTTTAGGTTCTACAAGGGCGATCACACTCTTGTTTTTCTATGCCCGATTTCCTTCACTTAGCACAATATCCAGCTCCATCGATACTGTCAGGAGTGGAACAATCCATTTTTATGGGTGTATATTCCCTTACATGCACACACATTTTCTTGGTGTCCATCAACTGGTGGACATGGGTCGTTTGCGTCTCCTGGCCACTGTGAATGGCACAGCTGTAACATAGAAACGCAGATGTCTTTGGCTACATACCCCAGGAGGGAGGTTGCCTGAGAATATGGTTTTTAGATATCCTTACTGGATGTACTGATTCCAAGTAACAGTATGCAGGGTTCTGTTTTCCCACATTTACCAGCAGTTATTACATCTTGCTGGTTAATAGATTTATTGTAATGTAGTGATGTCTCTCTGTGGTTCTGACTTGCATTGTCTAATGATCAGTTATTGAGCATTAGTTATCATCAATCAGCCATTCCTGTCTTCTAAGAAATGTCAACTTAACGCACCTATCAGCCATTTGTATGTCTTCTAACAAACATTTCTCTTTTTTTTGGTCTTTTTGAGACAGGGTCTCCCTGTAGCCCCAGCTGTCCTGGAACTCACTATGTAGACTATCTGCCATGCCTATGTCTTCTAAAAAACATCTGTCTACGCTACTTGCCCATTTCTACTGAGTCTGATGGCTCATCTTAACTTGATGGGATTTAGAATAGCCATGAAACAAATATGTAGGCCTGTCTGTGAGGGGTCTTGATTAGGTTAGCTGAGGCGGGAAGACCCAGCCTAAATGCCGGAAGCACTGTTCCAAGAGCTGGGGTCCCAGGCTAAGTACCCAGGGGAAAGTGCACGGAGCACCAGCATTCATCTCTGACTGACTGCTTCACCTTCAGGTCACCATGACTTCAGGCAGGACGGGCTGCATCCCTCCAGCTACAAGTTGAATTAGATCATTCCTCCCTGAAGCTGCTTTCCTAGGGGCTCTTGTGGGAAAAGCAGCGGTGACTGGTGTGCCCACCTGACAGATGCATGCCCTGCCACTCTCTCCCACTCTGTAAGCTGGTTCTGCATGCTGTTCTACAGTTTGGTGCAGTACCTTTCATCTAATTTTGCTTTTCGTTGCCTCTGCTTTTGAAGTCTGGTCCAAACAAAACAACGAAGTCCCTGCCTATTCCAATATGTTGAAGTATTTTTCCTGTTTCTTTCTAGTAGTTTCGGATTGGCCTTACGTGTAACCCTTTAATCCATGTTGTTTTATAACTGGTGAAATTAGTCTAATTCCATTCCTCTGCACATAATCTCCAGCACAATTTGTTGACTTTTTAAAACCCACTGGATGTTCTATGCTGAAATGTGGTTGGATGTGAGAGCTTGCTTCCAAACCATCTTCTCCTAGTGATCTATGTGTGTATATACCAATGCCATGCTGTTTGGATCATCACAGCTCTGTAGCATTGTTGAATTTGAGTGGTATAACATCTCTTTTGACTTTTGAGCTCAATACTGGTTTCCTTTTGGAGGACTTCTGTGGTTCTCTGTGAAATTTAGGACCTTTTATAGTGCTGTGAAAAATGTGGTATTTTGGTAGAGAATGCATTGAATTTGCAGATTGCTTTGGGGTTTAAAGGCAGTTTTGCAGTACTAGTTCTTACAACCCATGATCAAGGTACAGCTTTCCAGTCTTTGTATTCAATTTCCATCAATGTTTACTGCAGAGAAATTTCATTTCCTTGGTTAAATTTATTCTTAGGTATTTTGTGATGGGGGGGGGTAATGCAAATAAAATTACTTTCCTGATTTGTATTTCAGAAATTTTGTGATTGGTATACAACACACTACTGAAATTCTGTGACTGGTGTACAACACAGTACTGAAATTCTGACTGGTGTACAACACACTACTGAAATTCTGTGACTGGTGTACAACACACTACTGAAATTCTGACTGGTGTACAACACAGTACTGAAATTCTGCGATTGGTATACAATACACTACTGAAATTCTGTGACTGGTATATAACACACTACCGAAATTCTGTGGTATACAACACACTACTGAAATTTTGTGATTGGTATACAACACACGACAGGTGTACAACACACTACTGAAATTCTGCGATTGGTATACAATATACTACTGAAATTCTGTGATTGGTATACAACACACCACCGAAATTCTGTGACTGGTGTACAACACACTACCGAAATTCTGTGACTGGTACACAACACACCACCGAAATTCTGTGACTGGTGTACAACACACTACTGAAACTGTGACTGGTGTACAACACAGTGCTGAAACTGTGACTGGTGTACAACACACTGCTGAACTTGAGGGCTGACCCTTTGTCCTGCCATTTTGCTCAATTCTGCCGTTCTCTTCTGGTTGGTTTTTGTCAACTTGACACAAAGTTGAGACACTTGGGAAGAGGAAACCTTAGTTGAAGAAGAGCATCCATCCGATTGACCTGTGGGCATGTCCCTAATTGGTAACTGATGCAGGAGGGTCCAGCCCACTGTGGGGAACACCATCTTTAGGCAGGTGGGCCTGGGCTGTAGAAAGGTAGCTCAGCAAGTCAGGGGAAGCAAGCCAGAAAGCAGTTTTCCTCCACGGCCTCTGCTTCAGTTCCTGCCTTCCCTAGATGGGCTGTGAGCTATAAAAGAAATCCTTTCCTTCCAAAGCTTCTTCAGGACATGGTGTTTATCACAACAACAGGAAAGCAAACTAGACTAAGTCCTAATCGTCTTTGGTGTTTTCTACATGTGAGGTCACATGACTGCCATTTCCCGGTTCATTCTCTCCTTCTTGCGTCTGCTGCCTGTTCTCAGCCGGAAAACGAGGAGGGGCTGAGGCTTTCACCAGGATCGAGGCACCAAGGGGTGACCTAAGCTGAGCTTGCTGAAGTCCTAACATCCTTCACAGAAGTACAAAGTCCTTCATAAAAGTGTGGACATGCTCACGTGCACACAGTGCTCCCTGGCTCGGAGAAACACCGGTCTAGAATGGGGAGCACCTTCCTGGTGGGTAGGTCCTGGGGTCCCCCTGCCTCAGTGACTGCAGCAGGAGGCAGGAGGCTGCCTCTGCTCTCGGGCAGGGCTGCAGTGCCCTGACGACCACAATGCCACACTTCCATTATGAAACACACTGTCTTTCCTTCTACAATTGCGTTTGATGAAGCACGCTGCCATGTCTGTTTTTATACACTATAACAATGGAAAAACAAAAATGACCATCTTCTTCACTGGGCACAAGAGTGCCTAGGATGACCACCACAGGACTGTCTCTCTGCCAGGCCAGCTCTGGGCCACCTGGGCTTCTTCAGTGACCTGGCGCACCAGGGCCACCCAGCTCCAGGTGAATGCCCTCCACTGTGCAGTTTAGATGAGAAAACCCCCAACAGCATTCTGCTGGCTCCAGGAATCAACCCCAGTTTAAGGCTGTGAGATGCTGGGAGGGTCACACAGCTCCACAGGTGACTTCAGTGCTGCATGAGTCGCAACATGATTACTGCCAGATTGCAAAAGCTAGTGTCCACGAAAATCTCCAGAGGATGCGCTGAACCACTGGACAGCCCACGTATGCAAACCCTCTCCAGCTCTCTGTAACTTACTCTGCCACCTCCACAGGCCAGCTCATCATCAAACTCTCACTTCCCTACCTAGCACTGACAATTGGCTGGCTTCTGCCCAGACATCTTCAGTCTTGCCAATGGCTCTCTTCCGCCATATTCTACACCTCAATACCCTGGAGGGCTTAGAAGGAAGGTACCACTCTTCCTAGATTAACAGAGACTTGAGGAGGAGGGAGCATATCAGCTAGTGCAAGCCTCTGACCTCTACACAATTTTGCCTACAGGCCTCTAGGCCACCAATGGCTGAATGTCTCCTGGTTCTTACAGCAAATGCAAAGCTTGGAGTCTGCCGGCCTCTACCTCCAGGTTCTCATCTGCAGCTTCAGCAGCCTGGCCCAGTGCCTGGGGCCTCGCCCTCACTGTTCTTTTCTTTTGCTGGAGTCAGATTTGAAACCTATTTAACCTGATCACCTGTTTCTCTGTATCCTACTGTCCTTTACCCCAGAACAGCTCAAGAGGACACAGCATCATAAGCCCTGAGCCTGGGGGCTCCAGTCAGTGTGAACATGCCCCGAGCTTGTAGGTTGCTGTTTAACAGACTTCATGGACAGTCACTGTGGACCCCAGCAGCCTTCTGGATCTCCGCAGGAATACTCCTGCACAGGGGAACCTTCCTCTTCCCTGTAGGGATGCGCCTGTCCCCTGAACACAAGGCTGACACCCTCCTTCCAGGTCCTTCTAACTTCACCTCCCCAAGTTGTCCTCAGCAGGCACACGGCCAGGCTCCCCGGCTACTCTCCACTGCAGAGCTCCAGGCCTTCTCAGTGCACTTGCTGCCCGGCTGAGTGGGTCATGACTTGTCAGGGAGTTTTCTGTACTCAGAGCTCTAGGGAATCTGGCTCTTGATGGCCTTGTGGAGCGGCCCCTTCCCTTCTGACGGTGGCGGAGACAGGCTCAGGACACAATGGAGAAGGCCTGCTCGAGGGCTTTCCAAAGCTGCAACTGCTCATTCCTTGTCTGTTATGCCTGTGAGTTACTTAAGGAAACAGGAGGGATTGCCAAGTGACTGTCAGATGCATTTTTCAACAGGCAGCAGTTACAACCAAAAAGCAAACTCATTAGAGGAACACTCAATACGTAAGTCATTGAGAATGTGGTATTTTCCTCATCTTCGCTGGAGAAATAACACCAAATGTCACAGTTACTAATCAGAACAGTGCTGTGTATGGCTTACTTTTATTTTTTTATTATAAAAAACACATACAAGAGGTTTAAGAAAGGATGAATACAAGTCAGAATCACGGTGAGTTGTTAAACCCATTTTCTATGTACAAACACTAAAACTCCGAAAGTGGAACCAATGTGAGACACATCATAGACAGCACTGTCTGCACACAGCCCACAGAGCACTCTGTCTGCACACAGCTCCCAGAGCACTCTGTGTGGACACAGCCCGCAGAGGTCAGTGTGAGACACATAGACAGCACTGTCTGTCTGCACACAGCCCGCAAAGTACTCTGTATGGACACAGCCCGCAGAGCCCTGTCCGTATGCACACAGCCAGAGGTCAGTGTGCACACAGCTTACAGCTGTCTGTATGCAGAGCACTGTCTGTGCATGGCCCAAAGAGCTCTGTCCCTTTGCACATGGCCCGCAGAGCTCTACTGCTCCCTTAGACTTGCACACATCCATGCAGCCCATCTAAGAATCTGACAGAGCTTCTGCCAGGAAGCGTCCATGGTCCAATTCGCCTCTTCCCAATGGTTATAAAGAAATTTACAGATAGGAGGAAAATGCATTGAAGTGAGTTTCTGGCAGAGGCTTTTGGTATTTTACTCTGCCCAGCTGCACCACGTATGAGATACTTTTGCAGCCCCTTTCCAGCTAAGATAGTGGGAGATTCTAATGGTTATTATTATTTTTTTTTTAAGCCAAGTTACTTTTTCCTAGCCACATATTTGAGCATAAACTCTAAAACAGCTCGGGAACCAAATCACATTTTTAGACTCAAGCTCATGGTAAAATGACACCCAATTTCTAAAAGCCACTAAAAAGGACACTTTCTGCAGCAAAAAAAAAAAAAGGGCTAAGTTTAAGATTTTGTTGGTTGACAGACAAAAATAATACACCCTGTAAGTCACATGACCAGAGCTGTAACTGAAATGGATGTGGGTGGGGTTGCTTCTCGGTCTCCCTGGCAAGTCTCTGGCGCTTCCGCCACGCCATCCGTCTTACGCCTTCTCTGTGGACCTCACTGAGCATGCTGGAGGCGGATTAATCTATATTAAAAGTGTCAAGGCACTTCTCTCCGGCAATGACCATGGCCTTCAGCTGAGCCCCTCCACCTCAGGGAGCAGAGTCCCTAGCTCTCATGGAACCAAGCCCCTGGCACTCAGGAAGTCCAGTCCCTCAAGGAGCGGAGCTCTCAACACCTGGGGAGCCAGCTGAGCCTTGTGCAGTCAGAGAGCTGGCAGAAGCCGCTGTAGTTGGGGAGCCAGCCGAGGCCCCTGCAGTCAGGGAGTCAGTCGAGGCCCCTGCAGTGGGGAAGCCAGCAGAGGGCCCTGCAGTCGGGAAGTCGGCAGAGGCCCCTGCAGTGGGGGAGCCGGCAGAGGCCCCTGCAGTGGGGGAGCCGGCAGAGGCCCCTGCAGTCGGGAAGCCGGCAGAGGCCTCTGCGTTCAGGGAGCCAACCTCGTCTAGGCATCTGATGACTGCTGAAGGGACGCTGCTGGAGGCCTTACTCCGCCAAGCTTCCAGGATCTTGGATGTTTCTGCTGGATTGCTAGGGCTCAAGTCACAGAGCGCGTACACAGCTGCTAACTGCACACCCCATGGGATCTCTACAAAGAATTTAACCAATTAAACACAGCAACATGAGAACACCACCTGCTATTTCAAAACTCTTAATGTGTTGTCTAGGAGCACACTACCCAAATGTGGAATAGCTCTCCGCCAACAATGAAAATGTAAAAGGAAAAAAAAAAAAAAAATCCACAATAAAAAAAGTTCCCAAACTGGGCGTGGTGGTACACGCCTATTAAAGGACTCAGGAGGCAGAGGCAGGCTGATCTTTGTGAGTTCAAGGCCAGCCTCGTCTACATAGTGAGTTCCAGGACAAGGAGGCCCTGTCTCCCCTAAGACTTGTCTACAGATGAAAAATAAAAGCAGCCTAACTGCGGCTGTCTGCAGCACCAACTGCTAGCTGTCCTGCGTACACGGAAAAAGGAGCAGGCCTCAGCACTCCTCTAAGACTTTCAGAACACATGGAACCTCAAACAGACAGATAGTTCTCAAACGTCCCCAAGCAGTGTCTCTAAGTGGACTCTGGAGAGCACAGCAAAATGAGACTAAAGGGAAACCTGTCCTTATGCCACACGGATGCCAGATGAGCAAAGCTTGAGATAGGGCGCTCTAGAGCTACTGTAAAGTCCTGCATCGTTTTCACTCTCTTGGCAAAAGTCTACCTAGTTAAGACCACTGGCTGCTCTTGCAGAGGACCCTGGTTTGATTCCCAGCATCTAACAACCATCTGTAACTCCAATTCCAGAGGATCTGACACCCTCTTCTGACTCCCATGGGCATTGCGCGGCATGGGTGTACTTACCTGAATGCACACAATACACACAAAATATTCTTTAAAAAAGATCTAATTTACATCAGTTTAATTTGCTTAAATTTGTTTAAGAGTTAACATTCCTTGCTAACCACGTACTTCAGCTCTGTGAGGAGCAGGGATGAACGGGAACTAGAGGAACACAGTGTCTCCTACACGCTCAAGACCAGAGAGCTTCAAGCTGTCTGCCTGGAAGCATCTGCACATACATGGTGATGTCTCACGGATGGGGCTAACAGCTAAACTTGAATTCATTTGTATTTCACATATGCCTCATATTCACAGCCTCTGCCCAGGGCAGTTCTGGAAGGATCCAGTCCCAAGCAGGAAGCAGCCAGCAGAGAAATCTACATGCACAAATGTTAGTTCTAAAATGCAGAAGTGAAGCTTTGGAATGTTTTCTTCCCCTGATCCGAAGAGTAAGATCAGAACAGAAGCTGTCCTCGGGCCAGTACTCAACGAAATCCTTCTACAGTGAGAAACACAAGTGCCCACGAGCCGGGAGCACGCCAGTGGCCTGCCTGAACTCCGCAGCAGCAAGCCGATCAACAGTGCTGGCAGGCCACAGCTGGGTCCTGACTTCCCACTGGGCTTCAGTGTATGAAGTGAGGACGGTGCCCTCCCAAGGGTGCCAGAGATGAAGGCTAGACACAGGGCAGAGACACAAGGACCTATAGCAGACCCCACACAACTCCAGCAGCATGGGAAGGACCACACAAGGTGGCTTCTAGGTTACATGACGCCCCGAGAGTGTAGAAGAGGACATTTCATGAGAAGCAGTGGACAATGCCTTAGCAGCACCTCTAAGTCAAGGTTCTCTAAGCCCAGCATGCCAAGCCTCTCACTGGTAGCTGAAGACAAAGACCTGCCATGCTAGGGTGAGCGTGGGTGTCATGCAGTGTCTACAATGTCATACTGCGTTTCTGCCGACAAGCTGTGTAATTGCATTATTCAATGACTGTACAACACTCAGAGCAGAAACCAGACTTATATAAGGGCTACTCTGAGTTCAGTTTTTCCCACAAAAGACATAAAACCACATACCATGCAATACATGAACAGAACACAGGAACCCCACACTGATGCAGATGGGTGCCATGCTCACTGAGAATGGCAGCTCGAGGCTGTCACTGCTTCATGGGGGTGGCTGCACAGGGCCTCAGTTATGTCCCAGGACAGAGACAGGACCAGCAGCAGGCAGAACAGCGTTCTCTCTTTCTTAGAGGGCTCCTGCTCAATGAGGCAGACTGCCCCTTGCATTACCAAGTCCCCCCACAGCAGTAAAGCTGAAGTGTGAACCGGTCTGCTGGACAGGCAGCGAGGGCAGCGCAGGAGACAAGAAAGCAAAGGTCTCACCTTCATCCTGAGCATGCTGTATAAACATACCAATAACAGAACTAATATTCTTCACAGCACTTGGAAATCCTTCCTTCAGACCCAACTGGCCTAAGCGACCTAGGGAAACCAGAAGACATAAACAGTCTTTGGTGAAATACGGGTTCATTTTTCACAGGAACGGTAAATTTATATTTGATTCATTTAACATGATGCATTTTAGCCTGAAGATCCCGAACCTGTGTGAGGTGGGTGAGGCAGTGGAGCACCATCATGGGGAGTACTGAGTGGAGCACTATGCCTTTCAGGAGAACAGCTCACCACCTCTTACCCACGTATATGCATACAACACACCCGCTGCTTTGTCAGTTGGGCAGTGGTGCAGAAAGCTGGCACAGGCAGACCGAGGTGGACAGTCTTCATCGAGTGACCAGAAAGGACCACACTGTGGCAGTTCTCCAGCAGCTACAGACTCGGGTCTAAGGCCATGACTGCGGTGAGGCGGCTCTGCCTCCCGTCCATGCTGATGGGGCCAAAGGTGCAAAGCCAGCACCAGATCAAGCACCAAGGAGGCCAGGGTCAAGTGGTGGGTGTCCCAGGATGAGGCCCCTCTTTGCTGACTGCAGGTAAGCCCTTCCTGCCCCACGTTGCTTTTGGTCACAGTGTTTATTACAGCAACAAGAAGCACACTAGAACACATAGCTGTTTGGAAATCACACGTTCTCAAAAACAAAGCTGCAACTTCAAGGCAAGTTATTCCTGTGGACAGAGACAACATCTGAGCTTTTACAAAAAAAACTAAAATTTTGAAACAACTTCCATCAACTACTTTCAGCCTGACAGCTTTCTAATACTTAAGATTTCCCTACAAGGAGAGTGATCTATACATGTAATTTTTGCATTGCTGACAATTAGAAGTTGTTTACATACCCAGGGGAACAATGTAGATTATGAAACTATTAATAGGCAAATGTTTCTCACCATGCAAGCAAGACCAGTGGATTTCATTCAAACAGCACGGAAAGTCCATTCACCAGGTTGCACACAGCAGCTAACCTTAGGGACTGGCAACTTCAACAGAAGTCACACAGGAGGACCCACATTTCTTAAGTTCTAGTGTAGTATCAAGGAATAGCTAGAATTATTCAAAAAGACCAAGACATGCTTCCCTTTCATAAACTACTTATCTACATGAGATGCATTCCATATATCCAAAACAACATGCTAACCACATGCCAACCACAGAAGGAAAAGCAGCTGCCTCCCACGGAGGAATTACTAGCAGGCAGGGCTGCAACAAGGCCCTGCTCTGCCTGCTCATTTTTGTCTCCACAGTATCATTTTTAATTTAAAATGTCATATGCGTCAATGAGCACAGTGCTGTTCCTGATGCTCTCCCACACTTCTGCCGTGCCTGTTACCCTCACACTGAGTGGCTTTGTCCAGGGCTTGACGTATGGAGGCCTCAACTCTGCCAAGACACATGCAGCACTGTGGATAGCAGGTCTTCTCTCCCTTTTCTGTGCTGTGACTCAAGAACAAGGCAGGCATTCTATGCAGGATCTCCGACATTACTGTTACGGTACACGAGAGCAAACCCCACTTAAGAATCACATGTGTCACTGTCTAACAGCCAAGTTTGTTTCTCAGTTCAGTCCTACATGTTACATGCAGACAGAAAGGCTGTTTGATTCACTATGGAGTTCACACATTTGAAATTAAGAATGAAGGGGATCCTTATGGTTAGAATGAGATTTCAGTGACATTATTAAATCATGGCCTATCATCTGAATTCATATGCTAAATTCTTAGTCACAGTCAGTCTTAGAACTGGTAAGAAGGTTCACTGAGACAGTTTCTTCTAAGAAGTCAAACTGATGATCTGAACAAGCACCTAGGTACACGCCCAATCCTAGCATCACATCCGAAAGCCTCTGCATTTCTGCCCTCAGCCCCTGGCCTTCCCCGACACACTACCACTCTAATCACCCAGCAACTTCTGTGCGAGTCGAACCTTACCACTTCGTTCCATAGTACACAAAGAACAAAGTACCGTGCTGCTACCGGCACAGGTCACCAGAATGCTGTCGAGCCCAATGAGCTTTCCCTTCTCGAAGTGCAGAGGCCCACCAGCAGACCCAGTGATGGGATCACAAGCTATCACATCTGGCTTTTTACATGAGTGCTGGGAGACAGAACTCAGGTCTCTATGCTTGCAAGGCACATGCTTTACCCAATGTGTTTCCCAGGCCCCTCTGCTCCTAGTTTTGTTGGTTTTTTCTGTTTGTTTTGTTTTGTTTTGACACTGTCTCCCTAGTCACAGCCCACCTGGAAGTCAGGTTGTGAAATAGGCTGGCCCGGACCTCACAGAGATTTACCTGCCTCTGCCTCCTGAGGGCTGCGATTCAAGGTGCACACCCCCATGCCCAGCGCCTGCTATTTTTGACACAAGGATTTCTGACTATCCAACCTCTAAACTACAGGTTGGTATTTATGTATTATAAACTATCAACTATATATTAATTATACATTGTAACAAAAGCTGTAATGATTATTTAAGTTTACACTTGTTATTCTAAAATACTCATCTCTTGAAAGCCAGGCATTTTGAGATTTGAAGAATAAAGTAGCCTTAATTTGACGAAAGTACATATGAGAGTTTCCTCCCTATTTACACATTCTGGCTTTGGGATAAATGCACATGCACAGGCTTCATGACTCTCAAGTGGACTCTCCTTTCTAAGGCACAGAACTGCAAGTCCTTAGACAATCATGAGTGGTTGGTTTGAAAGCGTTTGGTGACATCTAACCCAAAGTATCTGCTGTCTCTTGTAAGGCAATGGTGACAGTTTCTGACCTCTCTGTCCATCACCATCTTCCTCATGAGGCCCTGCAGACACAACTGTGATATCATCAGAACCCTGGAGGGCAAAGCTTGGCAGTCTCTATCTTAAGAAGAGCTCCTTGGACCATTTGAAGAAGTAGCAAATTTCAACTGTGAGATGATAAAGGCCAGGTAAGGGGCCTTCGAGAGTCAGGAAGGAGTTACACAGCTGCTGAGAGGAGGCTGTTCTTACTAGGGCACAAAGGCACCAACCACCAGAAAACAGCATTCCATCTCAGTGCCTCTCTCATTGCAACAGATCAACACAGAACACAGCTGTAACAAAAAGCAAAGTCCTGTTTTAAAGTGTGTCCTTAGGCTGGGGAGACGCTTCGGTGGGTAAAGTGCTTCCTTACAAGCACAAGGATCTGAGGGTTATCTCTAGAACACCTGTAAAAAGTTAGGGGCAGTGCAACCTCAGTCCTGGGAAGGCAAGACAGGTGATCCCTGGGGACTGCCAGCCAGCTAGCCTAGACAACTGGTGAGTTCCAGGCCTCACTATCTAAAAAAAAAAAAAACAAAACTAAATGAAAAACAACCCAAAATGAGCCAGGTGTGGTAGCACATGCCCTTAAGTCACAGCACTCCTAGGCAGAGGCAGGAGGATCTGTAAGGCCAGCCTGGTCTACATACTGAGTTCCAGGCCAGTTGTCTCAAAAAAAAGAAAAGGAAAAAAAAAAAAAAAAAAAAAAAAGGCAATGTGGGTGGACAGCAGTTGAGGAACGACACTGTGTCCTCTTGGCCTCCACATACAGGTGTACACAGGCATGTATACACACATACACAGAGAGTATAGTTTCAAAAAACTTTGTTCTATTGAAAGTTTCATAAATACTTCCTGTAGTTGATGTCTATATACACTCAGAGACTTAAAAATCTCAAAAAAGCCTTCGCCCTTGGGGACTCTGTGTACAGCTAGAGCAGTTTCTCCTTAGGAGGTCACTGGAGCTGGAATCCCAGGCGCATGCAAGGCCATCTGAATGTCTTGCACCAGCACTGGTCCCTAAGTTCTTACTGCTCCTGTTCTACAACAGAAACTGTTTCTGAACTAAGGGATTAGGCAAAGCACTCCTGAGACCACCCCACAGGGGGCCTGGGCCGCACCATGTCTGCAACTGTGCGTCCCGATTTAGCTCGTGTAAACGCCTAGCTTAGGCTGTTCCTGGGTTCTTATGTCTCTCATTAGGTAATTTAATGTCAAATGTATTTCAGTTACTTCCCAGGAAGGCAGATGGCTACCTTGAGAGCCAGACTGTAGTCTTGGACACCTTGCACATGTGCTAAGCACAAGGTGTCACCAAACTAGCAATGACAGTCACAGAAGAGGAATGGTATCTGATGCTAAAGTTACAAGCAGGGATGCTGTGTTTATTTATAAGACTTATTCCTGTAACATGTTCACAGATAGTAACCTCATTTCAAACAGTGCTGTCTTTGAGTTTTAATTAACTAAAACCCAAAGGGCTTTATGAAGACACTGGGGGAACTGTTCCCCAGAGGCAAGGGAAGACACTGCAGGCACAGGAGCAGGTCACAACCACTGGGCTGACTAATGAACAGCAGTTACTGCTGACAGTTTGGCGAGGCCTGGACAGCAGCTCGCCCAAGATGCAGCAAAGAGGACGATATGTAACAATAAACATTGGGGGTTTCGAGGAAGAAGAGCCGCCCTGTCCTGAAGGCAGGCTTAGATTTCACTGGGTCATAAGGGAAGAGTGTACAAGGCGGAGCTGTCAGAACTGCTGTGGCGATGCTTCACAGTGAGCCATGCTAGTACATTCTGACGCCCCGCCAACATCTCTTACCAAAACCAGGGGAAGAGGCAATCAGCAAAAACTCACCAATCAGCCTCAGTATGGAGGCGACGATGACATCAGGGGTGTAGGCAATGTTTGCATGTCCCTTTCTATACTTTATCCACTTGTCCATGACAGGCCACAGCTCTTTGCTAGAAAAACAAGAAGATGCGTGTGCATCAGTGCTCAGACAGCAGCAGGTAACAGAAGACGGCCCACCCTGCACTTGTAACTTCACTCTGGATCTTTCTCTCTGAGGATGTGAACTGCAAGGTGAAGAAGACAGTGCTGAGGAGAGCAGTTTGGAGTCATTTGGGTGGAGGCCGATCTTGCTTCCTCACAGCCATGGGCAGGATGGTGGAGAGGTGCTCTGAGGACTGCAGACTCTAGTCCTGTCATCCATTTCTGGAGCTAGAATGGCCCTGCTTCCGGCACCCTCACACAGACAGGCACTGGACACAGGCTGCCTCTTCCTTATTTCAGAACTGACTGGCAGGACTGAAGAGACGGCTCAGCAGTGAAGGGCACTGGCTGCTCTGGCAGAGGACCCGGGTTCGATTCCCAGCACCCACGTGGTGGCTGACAACCGTCCACAACTCCAGTTCCAGGGAATCCAATGCCTTCATCTGACCTCCGCAGACATTGCAAAACAGTTGCACTTACACACATTCAAGCAATACAGTCATGCAAATAAAATAAAAATAATAAAAATAAAATATTTTAAAAAAGAGAACTGACTGGCATGCTTTTCCATGTCAGTGTACAAAGACCTATTTAAGACAACCTTGTCAAGGTGCAAAGCTGTAGTGTACAAATGGACCAGGATGTAGTTTACTGTTTGACACGGAGGTGTCGGTCTTTACCTAGGATTAGAAGAGCGGGGAACAGCAGATGCTCCTGTACAGACAGGCCCCTTTGCAATGGTAATTTCCACAAAATATATTCAAGGATTTCAAGAGCACACGTTCTACCAACCCCACGGCATATAGTTTAACATCAATTACTCCCTTAAACCAGGCTTTCTCAGCCAGCGTTTGACCCCCAAAATTAGCAAATTTATCTGAGGGGCAATTTTGTCCACTCAAGAGAAGGAACAGGGTTAGTGCTAGAATCCCAGCCGAGCAGAGGGCTCCTTGACTGGATTCAGGGCTTGCCTGCAGCACTGGGCAGGTCTTTCTTTTCCTCTGGATTATCCTATTACCATGGCAGTTCACTCAACCCAGTCACTGAGTGCCTGCCTCGTGTGGACAACATCCTGAGCATATGACAGGGATTCCAAGTCCCTCGTTCCTGTGTCATTTCTACGGGGAGATATAACAGGGCATAACGACACAGCGTACAGAAAACAGTGCAAGGCAGGTAACGACACAGATACTTTAGGGTAGTTCTGTCAACTCTCAAAGTGAAAACGTCCCTGTTTCAAATGTGTGTGTAAAAAAGAAATGATTCAATCCCCATTTGGGCATTAGCGACTGCCTTCCCTTAGCCTACCTTTACCTTAAATTATCACTCACCTTATGATGTTGTCATGGGTCCAGATCCACCTCTGGTGGCAGCAGAGTAGGTCGATGGCAAATATGTATTCCCAAGTGTTGGAGCTCAGATCTTCACCAAACTCTTCACTGGATTGAAATTCTGTTTTGGGGCACAGCTGTATGGTCAAAAGCAGCTTGGAAACCATGATGCCAACGTCTACAGGAGCACTCTAGCATGTGAAAGAAATATTTAAAAGTACATTTGGACACTCAGGTTGGGCACATCTTATTACGTTAGCAATCTCAAAAACTGTAATAAGCATCAGATAAATTATCTTTTACCCTAAAAGTACCTTTGAAACACTATAGTGTTCTGAATTAGGAGCTGCTTATGTTAGCCATAGTATGTATCATAAAGTGATTAGTGGGTAGTTGATAAGCATAATAAGCTGAAGCTGTGACCATACCCAGGAAGAGGGACCCTCAACTGAGGAATTACCTCCATCCAACTAATCTGTCTGTGGTGCATTTTAATTGCTACTTGATGTGGGAGGGCCCAGCCCACAGTGGGTGGCACTGGTACCATCTCTAGGCATGTGGGCCTGGGCCATCCTAGAAAGGTAGCTGAGCAAGCCAGGGGGAGCAAGTCAGTGGTAGTGTTCCTACCCGTCTCTGCTTTGCGTTCTGCCTTGAGTGCCTGTCTTGGCTTCTCAATGATGGACTGAAATCTATAGTGAAATAAACCCTTTCCTCCCTGCCATGTGTTTACTACAGCAACAGAAGCCAAACTAGAACAAAAGGCCAGGTAGCAAAGCTACAGACGGGCTGCAAAATTCCTGAGTTAGAAAAGGGCTTAGCTGCAATCAAGACAGGAATACAAATTGCCACAAACTCAAATTAAGGCAACACAGTGGAGCTGCAATCAGAACCACCAAGCTAACTCTTAAAATCTCCCTTGTTCACACTGTTACCTCCATTAGGAGTTTGAGCATTCCTTTTCATTACTGAGTAGCGACTGGCCATGTGCACACACCACTGACTGACTGACTGCCTACGTTAGTAGTTTAAGCATTCCTTTCCACTACTGTGTAGTGCTCATACACAGATATACCACTGACTGACAATCAGTTCCTCTGTTCAGACACAGTTAGCTCATCACCAGATTTTGTGTATTCCTAATGTTTTGATGAAAACTCAAGTATACATCTTTCTGTGGATAAAATGTCACTTCCTTCAAAGAAATGTCTTAGAACAGATCTGCTGGTGACTTTGCTAAAAATACATTTAACTTTTTAAGAGCTGCCTGTGTGAATGTGACTTTCCATTTAGCATATCCAATGAAGTTCTAATACAAAATAAATATTTATACACAAACATACAGGCTTGCAACAATACCATAGGCCTGAGCTTGAAGGCTGTGATTTGGACAGTTTCTATTCTGTACCCCATAAGCAAACCAGAACTCCCAAAATACTACCTGAGCTAAACCCAGCCAAAGTGTAAAGTTTTCAGTTGAAGAAGTCAGTGACTTTGCAAGCTGAGCAGACAGAGGAAAAATTCCAACAGATACAACCAGACATAGACAGTGGCTCCTTAGCAGAAGGCTGCCACACTGGTAACTGGCAGGTGACATTTGTTCATGGCAAAACTCTGAGCATCTGAAGTTTAAGTTGTGGTTATGGTTTAAAGTGTTTGATATCAGCATTATGAATTTTAAAATGTTTAGGAGACTAACTTAGTCACTAAAAACATTTTATTTACTGTGGCACAAATGCTATGCCCTCAACTTGACTTGGAACACTCAAAAGTTAAGTCCTTCAAAGAGTCTACTTTTTAGATATAAAGGTCGAGTATCAAGCACTTTTTAGGATGTATCTTACGCTTATGATTACTTAAAAAGCTGAAGGTAACTAAATTATTCAAGTTCACAAAAAACATTGCTCATTTAGGAGATGTAGTCTGTTATCTGAGAATTAACATAACATTAATCAATGGAACAAGATTTACAGATCTAAAAGCTTCTAAAAATGGTTAACATTCCCTCTGAACACTAAGTCGTGGCTTATACCCAGTCATCATTTCTACATACAGAAGCACTCATAGGGGTGTAGACGGAGGAAGCCCAACCATGAACAGAGACTCTCCCCACTGTGGCAGGGCAGACTGCAGCTCACAGAAATGTCTGAACTTGAAGCTTAGAATCATCAAACAGTCTCAGATTCAGAGCATTATGGATTTTCAGATTAAAAATCTTCAGCGTGTAAATCTTTGCAAGCATTTCAAAGTTGAGAGGAAAAAAAAAATCCTCTGACTCTCAAACACTTCTGGTCTCAAGCATTTTGTGTAACGGATGCTACCTTGGGTTGGAGCGGAGGGATGTATGCAGCTCTTGAGTCTTCTTGTCCTCCCCCGCCCTCTTTTTTTTTGGTGCTGGAGTGGATGGAACTCAGGACACTGTGCCAGTAGTCAAGTGCTGTGCCACTGAACTCCATCCTCAGCACCAGACTGCCAAATGACTCAATGGAACCCTAGACACAACCCTACAGGACTCTACCTTAATGCGTCTTGATCATTTGCTTAAGATGTGATTATGGACTTGCTTTCCTTTGCTTTTCATAAAAATACAATCTAATCACATTAACACAAGCAAGCAAAACAAAATATACAAAATTCTGTCCCACACGTAAGCAATGACAATCTTCCAAAACACTGAAACAGAATGGAACAAGATAAAAATACCGCTTTCTGACCTCGGAATCTACTTTCATTGTTTACCATTGTCAACTGAATTCTCATTAAGCAAAAAAACCTATGAATAAAAGACTCATTCTGAAAACTATTTTAACCCGCCAGCAATTAAAAAACTGTAAAAGAGACATAAAAAAAAAAAAGGTAAATACAAGAACAAATGTTTACGACAAACTCAATTCTATCAACCAGAATGAAAAGATGCTCAGAGGACCGAAGCCAGGTTCCCAGGTGATGCTCTCTGGCCTCCATGGGTACTTGCACTCACATGTACACACCTATCAAAACACACACACACACACACACACACACACACACTTAAAAATAAATCTTTAAAAAAAGGAAATAAAAATACATAGTATTAGACTCACAGAAACCTGGAGCTATCAACCTTTTTAACTAAGCATCTTCTGGAGAATCCAAGAGCTAATAGCCATCTATCCACATATTACCTATGTGCAGATTTTATCAGTAATAAGTGAAGCTATCAAACAATACATTTCGTGGTCTGCAATACCTCCTGGCATGTCCCACGAACACCTGATGTACACACTGCATGGACCTGGGCTAACGCAGTGCCTTCAGGACAGAATCCACATTACGAACAGGCTATGGCTGGGGGGAAGAGGGGAAGCGTCTGCCACCAAGCCGGGTCTGAGGCCCAGAATGCCCATGCAAGGAGCCGTGTAATCTGAGCACCAAGCGAGCAGGTCATCTGGGGCACATGTGTGCGCTCTGGGGCACACGTACAGGTCCTCTGCGGCATACGCGTGTGCACTCGCACTCAATCCTAAGAAATGTCCATGAACTAACCCGGCGAGTGAAGCTTTATTCCCTCCCCTCGTACAGACCAGAAGGAAGCTCCTGGCAGGTTTCCACACGGAGTAACACAGCAGAAGCACCGGTTGGTGTGACGTCGTACCCCTTCGCCCATATCCATTCAGCTGGAAGGAAGCGCAGGGCCGGAAGTAGCTCCAGGCAATGTGACGCCGTACCCCCTCCCATTCCCACACCCCTTTCTACCCCTTCCGGTATTCTTTTCCCTGCTGTGTGATCCCTTGTTCGGCCGCCGGAACGAAGCGTAGGGCCGGAAGTAGCGCCCGGTGGTGTGACGTTGTATCCCTTTCTACACCCGTGCCCGCCTTGTTCGGCCACCGGAACAAAGCGCAGGGCCGGAAGTAGCGCCTGGTGGTGTGACGCTGTACCCCTTCCTACACCCGTGCCCGCCTTGTTCGGCCGCCGGAACGAAGCGTAAGGCCGGAAGTAGTGCCTAGTGGTGTGACGCTGTACGCCTTCCCACACCCGTGCCCGCCTTGTTCGGCCACCGGAAGGAAGCGTAGGGCCGGAAGAAGCTCCTGGTGGTGTGACGCTGTACCCCTTCCTACACCCCTGTGCCCGCATTAGGCCACCGGAAGGAAGCGTAGGACCGGAAGAAGCTCCTGGTGGTGTGACGCTGTACCCCTGCCTACACCCCTGTGCCCGCATTAGGCCGCCGGAAGCGTAGGGCCGGAAGAAGCGGCGGTGTGCCGCTGTACCCCTTCCTACACCCTTGTGCCCGCCTTGTTCGGCCGCTGGAAGGAAGCGGAGGACCGGAAGTAAGGCTGGAAGAAGCGCCTGGTGGTGTGACGCTGTACCCCTTCCTACATCCCTGTGCCCTTATCCTATTTGCGGACCTGTTCGGCCTCCGGAAGTAATTGTAGGGCCGGAAGTAGGGTGGGAAAAAGCGCCCTGCAGCGTGGTGACGCCGTACCTTCCTGCGGTATGCCGTGCCTATTCCTTCCCACACCCCTCCTGGTAACCCCTGCGCCCCACCGCGACGTGGGCCCCGCCCCCTGGCACTCACCTTCTCCCAGCCCAGGAAGGCCCGCAGGCAGCTCAGCACCTCGCCCCTGGCGCGCTGCCTGGCCACCAGCTGCATGGCTTTACCAATCACAGACTGAGACAGAAACACCTCGTGCCACATGTTTGCAACGAACAAAGTCAGTTTCTCAGACTCCGGAAAATCTATGAGAAGAACACAGTAGATGCGCCTTGACACGTAATCAAGTGAACTGGACACACACTCACTGGGCTCTCGGGGGCCAGGCTGGGCTGGTGGGGGCGGCCCGGGAAGCTCTGAGCTCAGCACCATCGGAACTGTTCTCCCCCATGATCTTTGGCACACGGCCTCTTTTTTCAGTCCTGTTATTCTTACACTGTAGTCCAGACTGGCCTCAAACTCTTGGCAATTCTCCTGCCTCAGTCTCCCATGTGCTGGGATTAATTATGGTGTGAGCCACCGCACCACACACGTTTTTAAATTTTAAACCTAGTACAAATATATAAAACAGTGTAGAAAAGGTGGTGTGTGATCTTCCAAAAGAGAGGGAAAGACCTCTTCCTCCAAATTCTTCAGATTCAGAAGTCTCCTGTTTGGTACATGTTATCACAAGACAATTTAATGCATTTGCATAGGTTACTTTCAGCAGGCAAACTTTTGTCTGGAGTAGTTTACTTATTGTGTAAATTCTGAAGGACAATACTGCTGTTGAAAATTCTATACTTTGTATGTCTCCCATGTCTCCTTCTAAATTTAAATGAACTTTACAAATAGTAACCTAAACTCTTAAGTACAGAGTTGGATGAATTCTGTCAAATAAACTCATATAATCATCAGCAGACTCTGCTACATTCTTAAGTCTGACCAAGGTCATACAGATCAGTGCCTGTTCTCAAATACATGCTAATCATCAGCATTCTATGTGCCTGCCCAACTCTGCCTAACGACTAAGCTCCAATAGGCTGCTTCACACACAAGAAGCCTGTTCCTTTTGTACAGCCAAGCAGTATCAGTCTGCTTTCCAGTCACTTGCTGATGAACACTGATGAACATGTTTCCAGTTATGGGCCATTATGAATCAATGCATCATACACAGCTGTGCTCTAAAACCTGTGTAAGGATGTCTATTTTTACTGGATGTGTACCTAGGAGTGGAATTTGAGTGGATAATGAAGGAATGCCTTAATTTTGTTAAAAAGATCAGGTTTCCAACAGTCATATGCCAGTCAGTGTGCATCTTGTCCTGCTCGTCATGAAGGCACAGCTGTTTGATTTTCTTTGTTCCACTCTGTGTGTTATTCTTGTGTATTTGAGAACAGTGAGTGAGTGCCTCAGAGCAAACTTGTGAGCTGTTTTGATCTGCTGCCTTCTAAGCCGGTCTATCTGACGCATCTCTTCTCTTCCCAGGACGTCTGCACACGCTCCCTCTCCTGCAGGTCTGTCCTCACTCCTCAGCTGTAAACTGTGTGTGCTCCTTCACACTCAGTCCTGGGACAACGGAGAGTTTCTTGGCCCCCATGGAGACTATCAAGCCCACCTTCCAAAGCACAGATTGCCAATACTACATTGTTCTGAGGTGGGGGACAAACAGGAACAAACTTCCATCCTTTTAGGTACAATCTAAAGGAAGAGAGCACAGAATGAATTGTTCCCACAAGGAAAAGTAAGTACCACGAAGACAAAGGAAGGAGACTACAGAACACGGATGACCAAGGACATCCATGAAGCAACAGGGTGGGTATTCAAAGAGCAAAAACCTCAGTCAGAGTGAGCTGTGATTGGGTAAGAACAAGACATCCATAGGCCCGGCCAGTCTCAGCCCTCTCCCCTCTGCTGCCCACCACATGCTCCTGTAATGGGACCGCGTGCTTCTGTAATGAGACCACACTCGCCTGTCCATTCCACAGCCACACTTGGTTCATACCCCATGACATGTTGCTAACAAATGGAGAGATGGCTCAGTGGTTAAGAGCACTGGCTACACTTGCAGAGGCCTCGGGTTTGATTCCCAGGACCCACATTGTGGCTAAAAACCGTCCAGTTTCAGAGGATCTGACATCCTCTTCTAACTTCTGTGGGCACTGCATGACACAGGTGCACTTACACACATGCAGGCAGGCAATAAGCTCATACACATAAATAAATATAAAAAAACGAATGACTGGAGGACAGACACAAACAGCAAGGGGAGCTGGAGCTGATCGGGTTCGAGTTCATACTACTGTATAAACTCATGTTAGATGGTTCATAGCACTTCTAAATCCAGCCCCAAGGGATCCAATGCTTTCTTCTGGAGTCTGCAGGGACTACACATACCTTCAGAGACACACACATATACACCTAATTAAAAATAAGTATCCAGCTGGGTGTGGTGGCGCATGCCTTTAATCCCAGTACTTGGGAGGGAGAGGCAGGTGGATCTCTGTGAGATCTAGGCCAGCCTGCTCTACATAGCAAGTTCTATGCTAGCTGGGACTACAGGGAGACCCTGTCTCAAAACAAAGAATAAAACAAAATAAATACATATTTTTAAAAGAAAAAAAAAACACAGGCAGATTTCTATTGACTTTCTGATCTATAAGGTAGCATCTGTGTACCTTTCCCCAGTTTGTGATGATTGACATCTGTTGCACTGAAGAATGAGTCCCACCCTGCATCCTGAATAGAGACTGAGGAAGTAGTACTGTGGGGAAGTGAACTGCAAACAACACTGTGCCTTCACCTCCTTTGACTGCTCGGAGATCCTTCTCTCCTAGAGGCACAAACCTCACAGCTCTTGCCCTTCAGCCTGTGGCAGCCATGTGTCTGGGCATTTAAAATGTCCCCCATATTTTATAACAATTATGTCTGAGTGTGAAGCAGCAACACAGAACTAAAGCAAACACACAGGAGACGCACATGCTGACATGAGAGGGAATTCTACTCAACACTAGGTGCGCTTGGGGTTAGTTAGGTCACTTATCCCAACACATGCACAAAACAGTATTTTTAGATACAAAATCGACTGAAAAAGACAGATGCAGGAGTAAGATGAGAAAAAGACTCCATCTAAACATACCTTCCTTCAGTAGACTGTAACAGAACAAGCGGGCTCTCTCCAGGTCTCCAAGTTGCCGACAAACACCCACATACACCCTGCAGAGTGCATGGATGTAATTGTGGTCCATAGACATTTTCTGAATTTTTAGTTCTGAGAGAATAGAGCGAAGTAAGTACTCTCCTAAATGCTGGACAGAAAAAAGGAGTTATCTTTAGTGTGTCAAAGAATAGCTGTACCAGCTATAATTAAGAATTTATTAGACAAAACTTACACAGTACCCTAGTATCCCTGTACCCCAAGGTAGCCCGGCATGGTGGCCATGGACACAGGAAAAGGTGAGAGCTCCCGAGCCTATGTATTGAGGATGACCATGCTCTAGGTGCCACACAAGTCTGAACACACCTGCTTGCCTAAGACAGAGCAACCAAACCATCACCTCTTGCTCTTCTGCCCAAAGAACTCCTGATGGGAGGGAGCACGTGCACTGAACTGGTTTCTAGCCTCTCACTTGTTCTACAGCTCAGATTTTAAAATATCGGGCAGTGTGAGCTCTGACCTGCAGGAGGAGCATCGGTGACAACAGCCCACTCTTACACCCTTTAGGCTTTCTGAAAGCAAGCTATCAAAACCAAACGGTATTTAGACCGCAAGGCCTCCAAGGATGTAAAGATCAGCTCTGAAGACCCACTGGGCACTGGAACTGCTGGATATTTAGCAAACATAAAACTACAGCATCCGGATGAGCTGTGCATTTAATTTGTACCATCCTCTTCCTCCCAAGTGGAAGTTCCTACAGGCTTTCTGTAGGACTGTCAAAACTTCTTAAAGTGTACGGACCGCTATTCCAACAAACGCAAGGTCTGCTCTGTGACAGCAGTCTGCTGTGAGGGAGTCACACTGGAAACCTTTAAACACGCCAGCATCAAGTGGAAATATGCAACTATAGTCCTGACAGATGGTTTCCTATAGAATCTTATGGTTACTGAACACAAAGTTTGAAGCCTTTCTTACTGTATTTCAAATCTATAAAACACTGGCTTAATGTTGACAGGGACAGTCTTTGGTGTCACTAGCACTGGCTAGCCCTGCTGAGGACGTTCCTACCTTGTTTGTTGTGCTGAACTCATAAACGACCTCTTTCTCTTGATCCCTCATTACAGGCTTTTTGGAGATGTTTCCCACATACACATGACTGCGAATGACAGGTAGCAGGTCAAAGCAGGACTCGGCAATCTTCCTCAGTGCCCGAGCTACGGCTGTGCTGTAGGACTCTGCCACCTCGTTTAAGGGCAGCTGTGTTGCCGGACTGCAGGCTGGGGCAGCGCTTTGCTGCTCTTCGGCTGTGACAACTTCAGTTTGAGGGGTTCCTTCTGGGGGCTCCTCCCGGAGTCCTCCTGCCACGGCCCTGGTCTCTGACTCCAGAGACTCACTGTCCAGGCGCAATCTTTTAGCACTTCTCAGAATGGATGCCGACAGTGTTCTCTTCCCACCGACATCCTGCTGAGTACCCAAATCTTCAGACTTACCTTGGCCAATGTCACCAACAGAGCCGCCCCCCGTTTTGACGAAAGCAGTCGATGTTGAGGTGATGGCTTTGAGTCCTAGCAGAGCACTGACACGCCCCGGCAACACCTTTCCATCTGCAGAGCCTCGAGTCAACTGCATGTTCCCTTTGAGAAGGCTGAGGGTCCGGGCCCGGGCAGACAGCTCCGGGTACATGGTGTCGAGGATTTTAACAGAATTCTCCTGCGGTGCTCCCACTGCACGGCCAGGCGCATGGGGTGGTAGTCGGCCAGGCACTGGAAGCGCATGCTTTGGTGTGGCTGCACAGAACTGCAGAGGAGAGGACACCACCCTTCCAGGGGCTGCTGCAGTGCACGGGGATGGAGAGGGACCGGGTGGGGAGGCCTGCTGGAGCTCCCCCGGCCATGGAGATGGCATAGGAGGCACTGGGATTTCACATAAAGGGGAGATGGGACCAGCAGGTGAGGACGGGGAGGATGGACTAGAACTTGATATCAGTGGAGACAGTGCTTGTGACCTTCTTGGAGGTGTGGCTATCAGTGGAGCAAGCAGCGGAGGCAGTGGGGGCCCCACCTCTTGACGGATCTTGCTCAGAGTGTCAGGACAGTCAGTGGGCGTGGATGTGTCCGCATTTGCCACAATGGGCTGCATTTGGCCTCTTGGTGTCTTGGCACTTGCTCTTGTCCCCAAAGCACCCTGTGGGGCGTCACCCTGTGGGGCGTCACCCTGTGGGGCGTCACCCTGTGGAGCTTCCCCTCTGCTGAGGCCCGAAGTCCTTGCTGGCTTGCTCGATGGCTCTTTGCTGGCAATCTTTGATCGGTTCTTACTTCTGGCAAGTGGCTCCAACTTCCAGTTACAGTACGTGTGATCAGACACAGCGTTCTCGGTCTCAAGTGTCTGCTTATAGATCTGAGAGCTGATCCAGATGCTGGGCTTCACAGGCCTGTTGCGCAGACGGCTCTTATCAAAGTGAGCAGCAGAGAGGCTGCCATCGCAGGGAGGTTCTCGCAGTGCCTCCGGAGACTTCTCCACAGACGTCACGGAAGCAGAGCCTGCAACCAGGCCTCCCTGATCCTGAGCAGCAGCAGCGTCCTCAGGAGTGCCACAGACAACCACCTGTTCCATACCTGGGGTGATGGCAACGCCGCTGATGATGGTCCACTTGTCTCCCTTCTCAATCACGAGATTCTGATCCTTGCTTATGAGGACGTTTATAACTTCTGAGGTCACCGTGGAGATCTGGTACTGGAATGTCGTCCTGGTTCCATAGTCGGAGTTCTGCCCTGATCTTGGTGGGGCTGCAGAGTCAGAGCTCAGGGCCAATGGCTCCCCGGGTTCTATCAGGTCCTCCTCCCCAGTGCTAGGGCAGTCTCTAGTACCAGCCTCACCCTCAGGTCTGCACTGCATGTGCTCAGGGGCAGACCTGCCACTCAGGGGAGAGCTATCTCCAACACCCACATGTGCTGGGAGAGGCAGCTCTGTGCTGTGGGATGTGGGGCTAGATGTTTCCTTGGGTGCAGTGTCTTCCATCCCATCTCTAGCAGCCTGGTTGTTTAACAGCAGGAAATTCCCAATACCCTCACCATAGGCCTCAGGGTTTGTATGAAGCTGTCGCCCAACCTTGGTGAGAACTTCGGACAGTGTTTCCAGAGAACACCGGGCACTCTGGTGAGCACCCTTTAAGGGGTAGTCCTCCTCCAACTCCACCCACTCCTCGTAGAGTCGCCTCCTACACTTTGCTCCTGAGACTTCACTTTGCTTTAATTCTTTGCTCCTTTCTTCTTTGCTAGAACATTCTGAAACAGAGTCCCCTGAACTATAATCCTTTAACTGACAGCTCTCAAAGAACATAACCACCTCCGATGTAGAAAGTTTGTCTATGTCAATAAAGGTATTTATGTTGCAGTCCTGCAAGGCAGAGGTCAAATAGCCTACGTCTGCAGAGGGTCCTGCCTCCGGCTGCCTGGCTTCCATCTCCCCCACATGGCTGGGCGAGTCGCCCGCTGTACCCCACAGCCTGTCTGCCATCACAGCTTCAGCCTCACGCTCGCCCTCACTGCTGCTAAGGGCCTCGCTGCCTTCGGCTTCGGTGTCCTCCTCGTCCTGCTCACGCAGGCCTGTGTAGCAGCAGGGAGCCCCAAGGAGACTGCTTTGGGAGATGGCCTGCGTGTCCTCTTCTGCACTGCCAAACACCGAGGAACAAACAGTGCCTGCGGAAAGGCGGCTTCCGGGAAGAGCTCCACTTGGTGCATGCTGTAGAGTGCTAGGAGAATCAGGTGCAACCCCTCGGGCCTCAGTGCTCAGTCGGCGGGTGTCTCCAGGGGGCGCCTGTTCTGTAGGACAGTCTCCTGGCACTGCCACCTCAGTCGGAAGCAGTCCCCCACTCTCCAGCCTGCTGGTACCTGCCACGGTGGTACACGGAGACTCTGGGGGCTTGTGCATCCCTCCCTGCAGTGAGGGCTCTCTGATGGCATCTTGGCTTGGCACAAGGCTGTCTTCAGACGAGAAAGATAACTTACTATCTGTGGAATCATCAAAATTTCCTGTTGCTAAGGACCCACTTGGAGAGTCAAGGTCTGGTTTTCTCCAAGACGTAGAAACTTCTGGAGAAGGGCTTCTCTCCACAGCCACATCCCCAACATTCCGAGCCACAGCATCCCTGTCCCCAGCACTCTTTGCTATCGATGACACAGTACTTGTTTCCTGCTCATGGTTGTCTGTAGCTGAGGCTGGCTCATTCCCACGTGGTCTCCCGCGCTCCAAGCTGGTACTCTGAGCCTTCTTGGGCCCTGCCTGCTTTGTTATGACAGACACCTGGTTGGGCAGCAAAGCAGCAGCCCTGGATTCCAACAGAATGGCGCTCTCCCTAGGTTCAAGCGTGGTGGTAAATCTGCTACTCTGTGAGGCTGGTGCTGCCGTTTCTAGGTGAAGCCCAGTCTCTTGTGCGTGTCCTGAGGTAGCTCTAGGACTGTCCTTACCACCTCTCCTTAATATCTCACTCTGGTGCCATGATGGGTTTTTAACAGAAGCAGAGCCTCTCCTGATCCAGGAGGCCTGAGAAGACGCTAATGGTGCCAAGTCTGACCTGTGCGGTGCAAGTCCAGCGCCTGGGTCCTGGCCTTTACAGCGCCTGCTCTCTGCTGCCTTCTGAAATACTGACTGAGGGAGAGAGGACATTCTGGTCACGCCTTTTAATTTTAAACGCTCTACCTTGCTGTTCTTTTGATCATGACAATCAGATGTTCCCAAGTCTAACTTGGGACTCAATGCATACGAGCTGCTCTCTGGGGCATCTTCTTGCAGAGATCGCTCTGGTGGCTCAGAGTGCAGAAGGAATGTGTTTGAAGTTCTAGGCTGTGACTTTTGATCTGAAAGCTGCAGTTCCATGGGGAACAGCCTTGCTGGAGTGCCTATACCAACACACTCTAGCCGTGAAGACTGGGGATCACTGCCAGCAGACACTGGTCCCGAGGCAGAAGAGGAAGAAAGGCCTGCCGAAACACCCGCACACACTGCAGCTCTGGGGCTGAAGGCCTGGGGCTCGGGTGACTCTAAAGTGGACCTCTGCACATCTTCTCTTTCCTTTCTCTGAAAACGGCCAGAGCCAGTTACACGGTGCGGTTCAGAAGCAGTTTCATCTTTAAGTGTCCGCTTCGTAAACACGGGCTGGGCAAAGTCCAGCACTGCTGACAACAAGGTTTTCCCCTCAGAGTCCCTCAGTTCACTCAGCATCCTCTTGCCAAGCGGGGAAAAGCACAACTTGGACTCCCCAGCCACTGCCTGCTTCCTCCCAGAAAGGCTTCCAGATGCCGTCTCAGCACACACACTCCCAGTGGGTTGATGCCGCACTTCCCCGGCCTGCACAGACGCAGCCATAGTCCCGGCCACCGCCTGTCTCTCTGTCGCATCTAAGGTGTCTCTTTCTCCAGCTCTCAGGAATCCAGGTGATGGCCACTGCCTGCCCTGAGCTAAAGTGGCTGCAGGCTCCTCCAGCGCAGCTCTTAAGGTATCAAATCCAACGTGTGTCCCTCTGCTTAGAGCAAAAGCACTTAGAGACTGCACAGCTTCCTGTGGCCTGGGTTTTTCCGCCCACTTATCACTCCTTTTATTTTTTCCAAATAATCCAAAGTAACCCTGTGATTCAGCTGTGTCCTCTTCCAAAGCAGACTCTGCAGAGTTTCTGAGTGGGGCAGAGTCACCATCACTGGAATCCGCGCATTCTCCAAAGTAGGTTTCCTTGAAATGATACAAAGCATCCAGTTAGATTTCCCACAGGCCACACGGACCATCGGCAGCAACTAAATGCATTTCAGAGAGTGCTGCTTGAAGAGTCCTCACAATGCTACCTGAGAAGGGTGGCCAGGCTCTGGGGTAGCCCTCTCCACCCAAGTCCTGAAGAAGCGAGTCCTTCCCAGAAACCCACCTACTCGGTGATCACCCATTTCTAACGTGCCTCCAAGCCCCGTGCCACTCAACTCTCCAGTATTTCTACCTCTAAGCTCTCCCTGCCCTGTATGCTGAGCTGCTCAAGAGGCTCTGCTCCTTCCTGAAGGTTGTCGCCCCAGGCTCTACAGCCCCTAGCTCTACTTGCCAGGTGTCACACTCAAGCCCAGGCTAGTGCCTGGGCCAACCATCAATTTGGGGGACTGTGCACAGTTCCTGCAGCACTGCTCATACCAGTGGTGCCCCTTACTCAGTTGTCTCCCCACCCACCCTGCCCTGCATCCAGTCAGAACTCGCCTCTCCTCCAGAACCTTCCACATTCCCAGCCAGTAATTTCCATCTGGGTCAACTCCCGCGACCTCTGCCACTGACTCCATATCTCCACAGCCCCAGGGGAAGGGAATTGAGACTGACAAGTGCCCAAGCAAAGCTGCTCCTGTGGTACCAGCCCCCCACCATCCCCCTCCTGAATTTACGAGGCCATTTCTTGGCTTTCCTCTCCATTCCTTCCCCTACTCTAATGTGTCGGTAGGCAACTGCCCAGGGTCCCCCTGGACTCCCATTTTTGCCCACACCACACATTCTTACTGAAATCCACCAGAGCCATGGACACCCACGGGTTCTCCAAGCCTCAAGGCCACATCTATGTCCAGATGTTACAACCTGGTAACAATGAAGGGTTTCCCTGCTTTTGGACTGTTCTCACTCAGTCATATGGTGACTAGGCTGAGACTTTAAAAGAAAACCTCCCACAGCCTGTGCCCTTGGATTCATTAAGGACCCCATCTCCCTGAGGATAGCACGGAAGCTCCTTATGACGACTGTCATGGCCCTTCTGAAACCATAGCACCTAGCTAGGTGTTCAGAATACAGGAGGCCAAGTCTCCCGAAGGAAGAACCAAAAATGGCATGCAGATCCCCCTTCACGGAGAACAACTTCCTACGAAGCCAATGGAAGCTTTCTACGGCCACGGGAAAGATGAAGACCACATCTGCTGGGGGTGGGGGGAGTTACAGCATCTGCTGAAGGAATTGGATACAGCATCTGCTAAGGGGGGGGGGGGGCCTACAGCATCTGCTGAAGGAGTGGGCTACACAGCCAAAGACCACAGACAGCACATGGAGACCCTGTTTTTAGAAGCTCTGATGAGACACACCGCATTCCTACATGAAACATAATTCAGTGGTGTTTAGAGACAAATGAAAACCAACCCACACAGTGAGGAAAGGTACACTGTACATGCTGACCCACAAAGCCCTGGCTTGTATCACTGCACAGTAAGATCAGAGAAAGTTACACTTTACCAGCAGCTTTTAAAACACCATGGACACAGGACCAACACATCCTCATGGACTTAAAATTCAGAAAACCAACTCACTGGTGCCAGAGCAGAAGGTAAGGGGCCCAGGTGTGGTGACAGCACTGGAGGGGGCGAGGGCACTGGAGACAGGAGAGGAGGGGGTAGTTTGAAGAACTCTATGGCAGCCTGAAGATCATCATCATCGAACACGTGTCCATGGTCAGCAAAGCTGGTCCTGCCCTCGTCTTCGGGAGTCTGCACAGAGACCTCAGGACGCGACTCCCTCGCAACAGCATGCAGGGCTCTAGGACCTGCTTCACCCGGCTGCCCCTCTGCACTGTCACAGGAAGTGTAGTCACCCTCTATCTCCATGGACAGCTTTGTGAGACAAGTGTGTACATCTGAGGGCCCAGCAGGACTGCCATGTGCTGGAGGCAACGCATCATCTTCCCCAGAGTGTCTGGATACGCGGTTTCCTTTGGAAGGTTTTTCTGGGTGGGAGAAGGGAAGAAGTACTTACCATATATTCAATAGTATTGAGAAAAATTAATAAAATAGTTACTAACAGTTCAAAATGCTAGCAGCATTAAAAAGTCAGCAACTTCTAAAATTATCCTAGTAGGGGGCTGAGAGATGGCTCAGCAGTTAAGAGCACCGACTGCTCTTGCAGAGGACCTGATTTCGATTCCCAGCACCCATATGGTAGCTAAGAACTGTCCTTAACTCCAGTTCCAGGGGAATGTGATGTCCTATTCTGACCTCCGTGGCACTGCACGACACGGGTGCACTCACATACATGCAGGCAATACACTCGTACACATAAAATAAAAATAAGAAATAAAATATATTTAAAATTATCTTAGTAGAATGGGGCAGGAATGCAAACTGGGGAGCAAGTCGGCCCCACCCCAACCCAGGCACCTCAGGGCAGAAATCTTGCTGTGTCCCTCACATATGGAGCTTTCCTTCAGCAGCAGAAAGCAGCAGAGAAACAGGGCTGTGCCCAGAAGCTGAGAGGAACACAGTCTTCTCTCTGGAAAGCAACCCATGTCAAGTCTGCCGATAACTCTTCGGCACACAGCGAACGAAACTCCAGTTCAAGACCAGTGGCTATAAGGTTAGGCTTTGGGGGAGTCTTGACTTGGTTGAACTCTAGTTGGTAATGATTTACTAGCCAAACAATAGGGACGAGACCACTATATCTATTATAGTTCAAGCTGTAAGCACTGTACAAAGGATCCAGAGTTCTCTGGAGAAGTGGGCACAGAAAACAGACGGACAGCCGAGACTGGAGCATCTTCCATGACAGGAAAGTGGTCGAAGCAGGGTGAGCATACACAGGGGCATGAGAACCACTCCAAAGCAGCTCCCGTCACACAGGCGAACAGTTATCGGGGCAGCATGAACTACAGAGCATGGAGAAAACAGTCCTGACCATACCACACGCACACGCAGGCAGAGGGAACGGCTCTTCCTTAGCTGAGAATTCTCATCACTAAATGCAGAAGGAGTGACACACAAACACCAAAGGCAACACTGAGGCAGCACTTGAAGGGGAGGAGGTCCACTGTGGACACCACGTCTGGAGGGCAACAGTCAGTGCAATACAGCACATCACCCACCCCCAGCACACAGCCCTGAACAGAAATGGATTTCTGGATGGGACCTGGTATCAGTGATGTGCTCCAGTCAGTTAGGAGGACTGGTAAGGATTCCAGTAGAATTCTTTGCACTATTTCTGTACCTACACTCAGGTGGAAAAAGAAAAAAAGGCAAAGGCTGACACTCTGGTAAGTAAGGTCCCAGCAGTGTCACACCTTCCCTTTACCCCAGAGAAGTTAATGTAAGCAACAGGCTCCCCGAAAGCACATTTTTAAGTGAAAATGTATCAGGAGAAAGACAGCCCTTTTAATAACACTTTACGTTTTAACATAAAATCAAGTTCTGGAGCTGAGAGATGGCTCAGCGGTTTGATTCCCTGCACCCACATGGTGCCTAACAACTGTCTATAACTCCAGTTCCAGGGGATCTGACGCCCCCTTCTGACCTCCACAGACACTGCGTGACACAGGTGCACTTACATATATGCAGGCAAAACACTCATACACATAAAATAAAAATTAGATTTTTTTTTTTTTAAATCAAGTGCTTCAAATGGGACTACTGAATGGTACAGAAGGCACGGGCAGGTAGTGGGATCAACTCTAAAGTACAGAGAGGGACCTTGGAGTTTCAAGTGCCACCTACCTGCTGTCACGGCAATCCAGACAGTGAACTGAAGCATCTACTAAAAAGAACCAATCCCACATGCCACTGTGTATCTGACAGGTTCTGGCCCTGGCAGAGCAATCAGCAGCTTGCCTGTCCATGCCTCTGAGGGACTCTGACCTCAGATGGGTTTGGGAGGACAATGCAGTGCTCCTGTTTCTACTGACAGAGCACTTCAGTACCATAGTGGCTAGTCTGCAGACGTGTAAAGAACACGTGAACTAAGAAGCACTTCTGTATAATGTGGTAGAGCCATTTTCTTCCCTTCCAGTAAGAATGACATCTATTTCCAACCAAAAATATGAGTAGACTGTGAGAACATGGTAGAATTTCTCCACAACATCCTTCTCCAACTTAACGTGTCTAGGCAAAGGAAATGGAAAAATATACGAAAAGTTAATTGCTGGTGGATCAATCAAACTCATGAAAATGGTTTTTAAAACTGCTTATGCTTCTGAGAGCTTTTCCAGACTTGTCCTAGTGAGCCCTTTCCATCACCTCTCCATAACCCTATCTCAGCTCTCAGGCCCTCCAGGGTGGTGAGGATCCTCGCACTCCGGACTTGCAGGGTGAGTTTTTCACACCTCTCAGAATCTCGGCCCTTAGGCCTGCTCCAGTTATTAGGATCCTTGAGGGACCCAAAACTCTGAGCTCTCCCAGCCTGACCTTGCCAACCTGTTCACCTAGGAGACGCCTAGGCTACGCTGATAGTCCAGGACTATGGAGTCAATTCTAGAATCTCATCTCAAAAGATATCCCTAGCTGAACCTGAGACTACATTTTACACCTCATCTGTACATCAACTGAATGCCAAGCACTACTCAGCTGGCCATAACCTGACACAAGTTGGAGAAACAGCAAACAGTGATGCAAACAACCATTCACAATAGATGAGATTGTCTATCCATACCAAGAAACACCACCAGCAATGTAAGCCCAGATGCATAGGCGTCACCAAAAAACACCAACAAGAATAACCAAGATATTATGTCTCCTCCGGAAATTAGCACCCCATCACAATGTGTCCCGAGAAAGGCATCCTGGTGGATACACAAAACAATGGTTTCAAAATAGCGATTATGAGTATGTTCAAGGAACTGAAAGGAGAGGAGTAATGGGCTGAACGGAGACCATGACATACAGTGAATGAGGTAACTAACACAATTCAGAACATGAAACTAGAGTTCGATAAAGAAAACTTGAAAAAGTCAGGAATGCAAACAAAAAAGCTCAGAGGAACATGTACAAAGGAAGGGAGGGAACAAGCAGAGAGGGTCAGACCTGGAACACACTGGGGGAGGGGGTCACTCAGAGAGGAGGGCAACTCCAAACAAACGAGGCACAGAGTATGTTAAGATCCCTGGGACCTTGTAAGAAGACCAAACCTATAGATCACAGGCAGAGAAGGAGGAGAAACCCAGGTCTAAGGCGCAGAAAATATCTTTAACATAAGAAAACGTCCCAAATCTAGGGAAAGAGATCCTAGTAAGGTACAAGTGGCTGGCAGACAGTACGTAGACAGGACCAGAAAAGAAACTCAAGTCATATAATAGTCAGAACACTAAAGTGCAGAACAAAGAAAGTATGTTGAAAGCTGTGAGAAAGAGCAAGTCACATACAAAGGCAGGCCATCAGAGTAACAGCTGACTTTTCAAAGGAGACTAAAAAAGCCAGAAGGGCTTGGACCCACGTCCTGCAAGTCATGAAGAGACAGCTGCCAGCCCAGACTGCTAAACCCAAAAAAACGATCACTTCGATTGAAGGAAAAAAACTTTCAATGATTAAAAGCAGATTTAAGGAATTTATGTCCTCAAAACAGCTCTAGAGAGAATATTCAACAGAATACTTCAGTGTGAAGGGAGGACTAAACACTCTCAAGAGGGCACAAAAATAAGTAACTTATCCCAGAATACTAAACCAAAAAAGGTCTAAGAAAACAGCACTACAACACCAACATAACAGAAATTAATAAACATTGGTCAATAATAACTCAATATTAATGGTCTCAACATCCCAGTAAAAAGACAGAGTGATTGGATTAGAAAACAGGATCCATTGATTTGTTGCCTCCAGGAAACATACCTCACCACCAATGATCAACACCACCTTAGGGTGAAAGGATGGAAAAAAATTAATGCGTCTCTCAACTTTCACCAGAGACACTTCCTTATACAGTAGATGGTGATTAACACAGAGACCCACAACCAGCCAACATGTAGAGTAAGAGGCTGCAGACTGCTTATCACTGAACAGGACACCTGTATCCAATTCCTGCCTCCCAAGGCTCACGGACCATTGCAGAAGACAGGGCAGAAAGGTCTGTAAGAGCCAGAGGCAGTGGCTCTTTCTCACAGGGAAACAGTTCTCCAGACAGCTGGGCAGTTACACATGAACTCACAGCAACGGTGACAGGATGCACAGGGCCCACAAAAGCTCAAAGCAGACAAAATAGACATGGGTAAGAAACCCCCACCCCGACTTGAGAAACTACTGACAACAGGTAGCTGCTGGGAAGGGGAGAGTTAGTCTCTCTGAAGGGTGCTGACTCTTGGCAGGTTGACCCGGCTCCAGTGGATGAACCCACACTGAAAGGCATTTGGGGACACAAAATGACTCTATAACCTTTATTGACATATATAAATATATGCTGGGATCAAAAGTTCCACTGAAAGGAATGCAGTCTGCACAGCCCGACAAGTGCCCTCCATTCCACACCGTTCTTACACTGCTGGCTCTGAGTTGGCAGACTGAGGGCTGCAGTAACCTGTGATGAACACTTTCACTTTCATACCTGAACTGTGCTGCTGCAAACCTCTCTCACCTGGGACATGCCGGCTGCCTTCCCCAGGTAGCCTGTGTGCTGTGTTCACGCAGAGCCATAGCTCTTTCAGGAGCAGTTTCACTTTTCCTGTGAAAGGGCAAAACATCAAAGTCAGATCACTTGACTGAGCCCACACAAAGCCCAAACAACCATGTGAAACAGCTTATTACCAACTTAGGAAGCATCCTGAGGGCTTCCTGACACTCAGCCACTGTGTACAACTCAGTAAATTAGTAACAAAAAACTAGACGATGGATTTGCTAAAAATTAAAGACTGCACAGGTTTGCTCTTTTTCTTTTCTTCAGGAGGAAGGACCAAGAAAATCAAATCGTCTGTTATCGAAGGGTTCTGGCGCCTTTCTCTAGTCACAGGACAAACAACCTTGTATGTGAAACACTGATAAAGGATGACAACACAATCTAATTAAAACTCAACTGGTAGTAACCTTAAGTATCTGGTAATTCGAGGCCACCTCAAAGTGCTATTACGGCTTCCTTAAACTAAGTTTCTACGTAAACATTTATTGAAATCAGTAAAATCTTTAATCTAGGTAAAGAAGATTGAGTAGATCAACCTTTCACCTTAAAATATCTCTGGGTAATCAATCACAGATTTTAAAACAGAGTAGTCCTGTTAAGGAAGGAAACCCAGTCACTCCGAAAGGGGTCCACAGAGAGGGGAGGGAGAAAGGCACTGAGTCCATCTGAACAGTTGGCCTGTTAACTTTCCCTAGTCCAGATCAGCCTGGTTACAACTGTGTGAAGTTCTAGAAGTCTAAGTTCCAATATTCTGTGACTGAGTAACTTATCTATATTGTAATTTAACCTACCAAATACAGCCTGCTTCCAAATACTAGAATTCCTTTGCCTAAATGGCCTGACTGGGATCCTGGCTTAGTACGTATACCCAAAGCAGCAAACAGGAACCTTGAAAAAAAAAAAAACAAAAGCAAAAAAAAAAAAAAAAACCAAGCTACTTTCCAACCTCAAAGTAGCTGATCACCAGAGCTCTGCCTACTCCTAGGGATGGTAGCTGATCATCAGAGCTCTGCCTACTCCTAGGGATGGTAGCTGATCATCAGAGCTCTGCCTACTCCTAGGGATGGTAGCTGATCACCAGAGCTCTGTGGCATCAGTGTTCAGTTGAAAAGATAAAACATCATTCAATCAACGCTACACCTATTGTTAATCCTTTAAAATGCTTCTATCACAAACTCAAGTCTTGTGATTTTCCTGACTGCTTCCACTCCCCTGACTGTGTGTGAACAAAATGCATCTTTCTTTATGACCCGGTTATAGGAACACTGTTATTATTCTAACACCTACTTCCCCTCATGAGCCGTGACCAGCCATCCACTCTTTTCCACTGAATGCCTTGCTGGATTTCAAGTGACACTCGCTATAAATATGTCTGGGATGACTGGCATTCCTATGCTCTGAGCCTTCTCACACAGGAAGGGGTTGAGTGATTACTGCAGAGCTTGTAGCTCTACAGTCCCACTCTCCTGTGGACGCTGCACTGCCCCAGGTCTTTAAATACCAACGACTGAAGCACCATTTGTAAACAGCTGCAGTACTCCACTCATCTTCCCGCAGGGCAATGGCACCCTGGGGGGTCACGGCACATCCCACAATTGTGTCCCACACAGCTTCCAATTCTGTTTCCAAGGGAGTCTTCTGGACACACTTGTCAGAATGCTGAAATCAGGACAAGTCTGATTGGTGTTTACCAGCTACTTGGGTAGGGCTTCCAGTACACACAGACCAGAAGTAACAGGAAGCATTCCTACTTGACAGTGCCGACTTCACTTTGAACGCTTCACTTTTTCCACATTCAATCTTTTTCATCTCAGCAAATTATTTTTAAATTAGAAATGGGCTGAACTGAGTTAGAAGAACCACCTTTGAATCAGTTGTAATATTCCTGAGATAAATCCTTGTCATGGATACTCTGCATGCCAAACAGCTCCTGGACGCCATGCCTTAACGTGGCGTGTAGCTGCATTGTTAGGGGCAGCTCAGGTCTCCAGGGTGTGTGCTGTCACTCTCGGTTGGTTTTGCTGCAAGTAATGCTACTTCAGAAATGCACGGACACCCCGTGCTCTGCTGACCTCTCCAATGGTAAGCTGACAAAGAACACACCGAATTTTCACTGAAGGTTTAGAAGCTCCATAACCACCTGGATCTGCTTGGACATGGAAATGGGACCATTCCTACATATTCCTGTTTGTTTCTGTTCAAGTTGCAACAACCAGGCTGAGTGGATCTGAGCACCTTCTCCTGAAAGACAGAAGGTCCATTTCCTCTACTCTTCACATTGAATACAACACGAGGAACTCAGAACCCTGCCATGTGGAAGAGGAAATTCTCATAGCTTTCACAGTCCACGTGCTGGTTGTCTCTGTTTTTCACCTTGTTTCTGTGGAGTTGCTGCTTCTCCTGCTGCAAAGACCCCGCATTTCCAACAGTCCCGGTGTTCCAGCTGCTTTGCTTTGACTTACGGAGTAGAGGAGATTTTATCAGTACCTTATAAATGATCATCTTGGGGCTGGAGAGATGTTCAGCAGTTAAGAGCACTGGCTGCTTTTGCAGAGGCCCTGGGTGCGATTCCCACCACCCACACAGTGGTTAACAATCATTACTAATCCAGTTCCGGGTGAGTTTGACGCCCTCTTCTGAGCTCCACAGGCACTGCATGACACGGGTGCACTTACATGTATGCAGGCAATACAGTCATACACATAAATGTAAGTATCTAAGGAGTGACCCCTGGCAGCTGTGTTTCGCACAGCTGGGCGTAGGCAGTGCTCACCTCTACTTCAGACACACCGCTCCAGGCTTTTAGTGTACAAGATGTATTCTCTTAATGGTAACTGCCTTTAAGCAACTTCAACATGATCCACGTGGATCTGTCCCCAAGCTTGGATTCTTCGGGCCTCTCTGCTTCCACACTGGTGCTGCTTAAGCTCCTTCAGCCAACGGCACCTTTCTGCTTCCTGTGACTTGAGGTGTATGTCCCATTAGCATGTCAGAGGGGAGCTGTATGTAAGCAGCTGCTGTCCTACCGTGTGGACACACTGCACGCTTCCTCCTCCTGTCTCTACCTTCCCACCGGCTCTGTCCACCCCTCAGAGAGCTCCAGCGACGACCACTGGGATACCAGCTCCATCCTGAGATCTTGTCTTCTGTGTCACCTCTGGGGCTGGCCCTTTTGCACTCTGTTCTTACTCCTCCATTTCATCCAGGGTCACTCAGTCATGTGATTCCAGCAGCCTGTGGATGTGTTCTTAGACATTCTCTAAGAAACTAATTCAGGCTTGAACATTTACTCTTATCCACAATTTAATACGGGTTCCTTGGTCTTCGAGAATCTAAGGGCTTTTTCTTGTCATCTCTCTTTCTCAGATTTATGGTGGACAGTTTGGGCAACACTGATGCAGACAACCTTCTCAGCAACACTTCCAGCTCTGCCCTCCAGCAGAGTGCAGGCTCTCCTCCTGAGTCCTGCCTTCAGGAGAGCGGGCAGAGTGGGGAGTACGTCGGGCTCACATGCTGTGCATAAACGCGTGGGATACAAGTGCTCACCCTTACACAGCCATGACCACCCAGTCACTTAACCTCTATCACATCTCAATCACACTGAGTAGCTACACTTGGGCCACAGTTTCTGGACAAAACCCAAACAACAGTCTCTGTAACCTGCGGGCTGGTACAGCCTCACCCTGATCATTACTGGCGAACGTTAGTCCTCTGCTCTTTCTCCACCTCCCAGTCTTGACATCAGTGAAGCTGCTCTCTTTGCAGCTGTGATCTCGGCTTCTCACACTCCTTAGTCATCTTCTCCAGTGGTGCCTAGCTGCTCAGTTGCCTGGGAAATGCTTTTAGAGACAGTTTCACTCTGTAGCCTAGTTGGTTTCTAACTCAGGATCCTCTTGCCCAGCCTCCCAGCTACTGTACCCAGCAAGAGGGCTACTTCTTTTTATCTGAGCCTTTTCTATTGGGCTTTGGAAGGACCAGTGGCCCTTGAGCAACCCTTATAAAGGAATGTCAATTCAACAAGCTTGTGTCAAATTTATCAGTTTCTTCCCAAAGTTAAGCATTAAGAGAGAAAAGCACTGAGGGATCTTGTAAGAACTAGGGATCAAATGCAAAGTCAACAGCTGACTTCATTTAATTACTTGAAAAAGTAAAATGCAAAACAGACAATATTCTTGTCCTCCATAAGGTGGGTGAAAACGCAACATGAGCTGATCTGACCTGAGATAGTAACAAGCTCTTTGGGGTTTAAAAAAAAAAAAAAAAAAAAAAAAAGAAAATATTCTTTCCCCCATAAGGTGGGTGAAAACCCCACAAGAGCTGATCTTGCCTTAGATAATAAAAAACTCTTTGGGGTTTAAAAAAAAAAAAAAAAAAAAAAGAGAGAAAAAAAGCCAAGGATTTAAGGACGGGAGGGAGGCTTTGAACAGAGCGCGGGGGACAATTCACCTCAACGCTGACCACGGGCTTTTAGGAAGCAGAGACATGTTCCACACAAGGGCACCACGTGCAATACCGCATCAGTGATAGCAACCACCAGCACCCAGGCAGCTGAAAGGTGGGAACTAGCAAAGGCTTAAGGAAAGAAAACAACTTATTTTCTGAATTCAAAAAAATTTAAAAGGGAAAAGGACTTCAAGAGACACCACGCTTGCATAAACTGAAAACTTCTGGTCATGCCTACTTGGAAAAAAGCAGCATCTTGTGGCATTAAAACACCTTCATCTACTATCAAAACATTGAATTTTATCTTCACAAAACTCTTGTGAGACGGAAAAACAGAAATTCGAATTCGTATCTTCATTTTATGGTCTATTTTGTGAACATGAAAAGGAAGTGAGCAACCAAGAGTCAGACAACAGGAGTGTCTGAGCACAGGCCAATCTCTCAGCTGCAAGTCTGAGCTGTCTCACCGGTGTGTGTGGCAGCTTGTGCTGCGACCACCACTGTCCACTTTTCTATGACCTTGCTGGTCTTCTCATCCTCAGAAAACAGTGATCCACTTCTCTGCCTGACTTCACTGCTTTGGCACCCAGGAAATTCAAAGAATTAATCTGATAAATTGTAATCTAGAGAAAAAACCTATACTAACTGAGAAGTATGGAAATTACCTACCTCTCCTCTCCCAAACAATGTTTTTTTGACTCTTTCATTCACATTATTTAATGAGAATAAGTCGGTTTTATGTACAGGTGCATATGTACATGCAAGAATCTAATGACCATCCCAAATAACACAAGGCTCCTTCCAACACAAAGTATCTACAAACTGTAAGTAGTACACAAAATCAAAGCAAAGTGCTGTGTACTCACTTTTATCCACACTTCCATAGGAATCACTTGAAATCTGTGTTCCAACATGTCTCAACTCTAAAAACACAAGGGGAAACAGCTTACAACAAATCCTACACAGCAAAACTGAATTTGCACGTAAGCCCCCACTGCATACTCACCCTTTTCATTTTTCTGTTTAGAGACTTCATCAAGCCTTTCCTGTGTGGGGGGAGGGCGATACCAAGAGTGAGCGAGCTGGACGGGAGCAGACAATGCTGCACATGCACAGGGGCAAGGGAACTGATGTGACGACTAGGGCACCAGGTGGCCCGGGGCCCGACTCCTGTGAGTCACAGCACAGATGCCACAGGAGCCCCTAAGGGATTTCTTGTGCACATTATTTTTTTCAGTACCTGTGTCTTCTTAAATTCTTTTTCGAGTATTTTCTTTTCATTCCTCAGTTGCTTGAAGTCTTGAGTTTGCTTAACAGCAGCCTCTGTGTTTAACAGTGTATCAAAGCAAAGAGAAAAATAATGTATCAACTATAGGGACAATGGACCGCTCAAATGTAATCCGGTGCTGCCTTTTCTCAGAGCTTGGAGACATATGCCACAGTTACTGCACCTTCACTTTTATGAGAGAGGGCTATATACAGGAGTTGTTTTTTTTAAACTCCCATTTATATGAAACTACGTTAAGTGACAAAGGCCTTAAGAATCTTCCACAATAATCCCAAACCTTCCAAGCGGGAATCCAGTTGATCAGGGAGGGTGTGACAGAATTCCTGATTTTCTGCTTTAACCATCAACCACCTTGGGGACTTGAGAACTGCACAGTCCCAGAGTCAGGTGACCCTCCTCTCAGTATGTGGTAAGCATGGGGTAAGATTACCCTCTTCTTCTGTGCTGTGGACAGTGCTATCCTTTCCTGGAATTTCCTTCATCAAGTCAACCGAGCCTAATCCCGCACAGCTTCCTTAGCGACCAACTCTCCAGGGGCTGACAGTTCTCCAGACCTCAGACTGCAAGCACGCTAGTCATTCATTCATTTTTGGTTTAAAGCACCACACAGTCCTCACAATACTGAGAGTCCACCCAGAACTGACACTGTGGACGTGCTTATACAGTAAGAAAGCAAAGTCTCACAGAACAAGCAAGGTTCCTCGTCTCCTAAACAAGGTTGACTTCCCTCAACAGTCGTTACTGTGCCATGTCACTGCCCAGAGAAAAACATTTCTGTCAGATGGAAAATAAAGACCGCCTCAATGGGCAGTGTGTTCTCAAAGCCACACGCGTCACTTCACAAGCACTCTGAGTCTCTTCAACACCTTTCTTTACACACTGGTCTCCACTCACTGGAACGGGAAGGTGATACTCGGAGCTCAGTACTGCCCTGACCGCCTACTGCCAGCACTGGTGAGGAGGTTAGCACACCACCTGTAGGACCTCCGCCCCACTAGCGGCCAGGAGCCCTTTTCAGGCACTAGTGCCCACGGGCCTGACGGAAGTGACCTCTCCCTCACGTACTGAATGGGAAGGCCCCATTTCTGAAGCAGAGCACAGCCAGCATGATGCTGGAAGCCCACTGTGGGAAGACAGTTCAAGACTATGCTGGGCAGAGACAGGGAGGGCATAGCCACTGCCCCTTCCTGATACCATGTCCCCATCTAAATGTACGACAATGGAGAGAAAAGCACAGACAACGGCCCCATTCTTGGTGATGGGCAGTGAGATGCGCAGACCTCACAGACTCCGGTGTGTCTTCACACTGTCTACTCAGAGACTACAAGTCCTTATTTAGGGGGTGTGGGTCCATCGGTGTAAAGCACTTCACAGACATCTGAACTATCTAAATCAGTTTCTTGACATACAAAGTGGTAACCTTTTCTCGTAATCATGGGATTTTAATAGGAAAAAATGAAATACCCACAAAATTGAACTTCCAAAATGAAATAATTTCGTTAGTCATTGTTTTTTTTTACAGCGAAAAATTACAGCACAAACTGTTACTCTGAGCAGCTCCCGCACAGCCCGCAGAGCCCGCACAGCCCATGGCCGTCCACTCACCCTCCAGCTTCTTCACCTTGGCCTCTAGTTTCTTCTTCCTAATAATAAAGTCTGGTTAGTCAGGGGGCAAAAGACAGCATTACCAGAAAAAAAACAAACTCGTTTTTAGTTAGCTTTATCTAACTTTCATTCTCCAGTGCATGGACAACTGGGTTCATTCACGATCGTTCTCATAGTAAAATGAGCCCAGGAAAGAAACTACCCCATTTAACGTGGAATACTTCTAAAGTGGACTTTTAGAAAACATACAACAGGCCTCCTGCAGAGTACCTGCTACACCCAGGCCCTCCCCTCCAGGACAGTGATGGCATCTTTGAGCAGGATGCAGATGTTGGCCCCTGGTCAGGAGCATGCTCGGTATGAGAGGGAAACAGTGGGCAGAGACCTTCTATGTTTTAAGATGGGTTTTGGAAAGTAAGGAAGTTAGGCCTCTGATCATTGCTAAGTCACACCCACAGCCAACAGTTGGACATACGGCCTGGCATATGCTTTGTGAACGGGAAGGAGGGATCACACCTCAATGTAACCAGCAGATGCTTGTAACGGCCAGTTTCATTAATAAGGACAATGGTGGCCCTTTAATACGACCTACCAGAGCAGATGACACCTGTCAAATACAGATAACAAAGACAGGGGCCATAACTCTCTGCACACAAAAGCACAGGTGCAAGCTCACACATGCAGAGACATTAGGGCTTGGGACCGCCTACGCAGTCCTTCTGTAAGAGATGCCCTCTTTATGACCCACGAGCAGTGGATGAGACCACGGTGGAGACCAGCTACGGCAGCACAGCTAACCCATTAGTGTCCACGATGCACGCACGTAAGTAGAGACACCACGATGTACGAACTTTGTAGGTTTAAAAACGAAATTCCTATTTCTCTGGTTTAAAGCACTTACTGAGCGTCACTTCTCAAGCATTCCTCTTTCACACGAGCATATTCCTGATGAGTGTTCTGATATAACTTTAGAGAACTCTAGAAAGGAAACAAATATTGCTTTAATAAGCTAAATTTTCCTGTGTGACAGCAAGTCGTCAGCTGTGAGCAGAATGAGTGAGCAGGTCGTCAGAGGGGAATTCTGAACATTTTAATGCATATGGCCAGACAGAGTTAACAGTATAATCAGACAGAGGTGTACAACTTCACATACTAATTTTAAAGCAATTCCAAATCTTCAAATCAACTAGTTTTAATGCCAGGCACGATGACACATGTCTTTAATCTCAGGACTCTGGAAGCTGAGGCAGGCAGATCTCTAAGACCCCAGCTAGCCTGGTTTACACAGTTAAGTTCCAGGCCAGCTGAGGCTACCCAGTCTCAAAAAAGCAAAAAAGGTTCAAATATCAAATAGCTAATGTTTTCATCTCAGCCAATTAAAATCCAACACAACCTAAGGAAAATCAGAGCTTAGATTTATTAGCGGTCATTACTACTATGGTAAACCATGAAACAAACCATCAGGCAATATTAACCGGGGCACAGATACCCTGTAGCTACTTAGGCCTGGAAGACACCCTGTCCAGTACACTCTGTGTGTGGCATTTATAAAACTTCATGAGTTCTTTAGAAATGAAGAGTCTGACGACTAGACAGGATAACTTATTTCTTCAAGTCCCGGTCACTGAGTGACTAATTAGAGTCTACCACTGAAGTCTACTTCCAAGGTTCACACTTCCTCTTGAGCATGCAACAGATGTTACAGAACCAGGGGTAGATATACCCCAACTCTATGACTGCTTCTGTTTGATCTCCATGCATACCTAATAAAGAGCTTACAGAAATAGGAACACTGATAGGTACTGTTAAGGTACATGAGAAGCCAGGTAACTACACACCCTACTAAAGCCACACTGACAGGAAGACCAGAAGGCAGCAATCTCTCCTGGAAGGACCCAGAGGGGACATAGGATGGGAGAGTGCCCTGACAGCACCATCTTTGCTCAGGCAGTCACCTATCTACGACCTCGGAAGCCTCTATCTGTGAAGTGTACAACACACTCTTAAGATTCCTGTAAGGAGTGTTCCAAAATGTATACAGAAAAGCCTGTTGACAGCATTTTAGGCTGTCTTACAGGGACTTGACTTTTGAAAAAGAGAGCCTCCATGTAAACATATCAGTTTCCTATCTGAAGTGCATGTCTTCTCCCAAGACTCCATCTTGATGAAGTAAAGGAAATGACCTAAAACTCACCTGTAATAACAGGTGACATGTGACTGAAGGATGCACTCTGTGGACCTCAGCAACACTAAGAAACCACAAAGGACTAAGCATGATTATAAAAAAGAATAGACTTTTAAAAAGATCACTCTAAGCTGTCAGGATCATTCAAATTGATTGGCTCATAGATGATGAGAGCAGGTTCCTCAAAGGACAAGTGGACTCTTACCAGAGCAGAAGCTCCCGAGTACTGAGCCCAGCCCATGGTGGCCGTGGGTGGACAACACCACTGAAGGAATCAGTTTCTCCCACACTCTCTCACACAACAATTCACCTACCTCTAAGTTTGAGTATTTGCATGTTATTCCCCATGTAAGACAAGAAGAATTTAAAAAGAATTAATGCAGAGTACATAAAAACCATGAAATTTCACAGCTTTTAGTTTTCTCTACTCATCTCAAAATACATAAGGAAATGCGGTATTCAAGACCTAATAAATCAGGGCAAATCTGCTATCCACCAGGTTAAGGCTATCTATGGGCAATAACACTTAAAAGGTTTGACTGGCATTTGCTCCCCATTAACACATAAAAAGTTCCTGCAGTCCAATTAACAAGCGGCTGAGCCAGTCCTAACATACCAACCATAAACCTCTGTAGGAAAACAGCTTCGGGTACCTTTTTCTCTTCCAGCTCTGCTTTTAAAGAGTCCAGTTCTTCCTGACACTTTTGCAGAGGAGAAATCTTTTGGAGCATCTGTTCCACTTGGTGATGTAGCATGCTATTCTCTCTAAAAATGGACAAGGCATAGACCAAAAGTGGCTAGAGTGAGTTATCAAGTCTGTAATTTGGAACAAAAGACTCCTTAAATGCAGTCTATTTACACTAACATAATCGTACAGCTTCTTATTTTAGGCATAGCAAACATTTTAATAAAGCCGTATCAAAAAGCAACTTGTGAAACAAGTTCAACAGAGCTCCTGGAGAGGCTGCCCAACACCTGAACTTCCAACCCTGAGAGCTCACCCCTGTTTATCCAATTAAGTGATATACAATCAGGTATATAACCACATTTTGACTTTTAAGTCATAACTTTAGTTACAGCATAAAACATTACAATTTTATCAGTTTTATTTTGTCAAAAACATGATACAAACAACACTGAACAGTCCAATCCCTGTGGACACAGTGCTGGGAGCACTGCCTAGCTCAAGGGTAATGTGGTCACGAAAGTTCTGTAAGTCACTAAAACATGGACCCAGGCTACAGTTTGAACCCTAACAACAAGCTCCTTTAGTGATCTGCCAGGAAAAGCAAATCTGACTCTAATATGAACGTCCAAAGCACAGCTACAGTCCAGGCAGGTTTCCTGAGTCTGGGCTACGTGTCCACCTGGACTCAGGGACCCAAGCAGCTACCACCACCAGCTATGGAAATGAGGCGGCTCACCTTCTGGCAAACTGCAGCTGTAAAGTTTGTTAAAGAAAACACCAGAATCTTCTGATCCTTATCTGGAAACAAAGTTCACTTTACAGCTCATCTTTAGTGAAAGGCATTTGATGTGCACAGGCTAGACCATCAATCTAGCCAAGGTTCAAGTTTCCATCTCTTAATACAGTGGGAAGTCCACTGGTTGTTCCTACATACCACTACAGGGTCTCCAGTCAAAATACCGATTTCCCTAAATGAAGTCTTGAATAAACACATGATTTATTAGCATTAAATTACAATAAAGACTAATGCAACATGTAACTGAAAGAACACACTTTGGGGATCTCTGCACACATCAGAACACCCCAGAGGTGCCCTTCACTCCTCAAATACCCCAGACAACGAGAGTTTTGCATTTACACAGCATCTGACTTCAAGGTCAGGCAGCGTATTCTTTCTCATTCATGCTACCTTCCAGCAATGACTGAGGAACAGAAGCTCCAGGAACAGGGTAAGCGGGTTCCCATCCTTCACACAGAGGGGAGGGTAAAAAATGGTCGAATTAAACACAAAGTGTGGGGCTGGAGACGTGGCTCAGCGGTTGAGAGCAATGGCTGGTCTTGCAGAAGATGTGTGTTCGAATTCCAGCATCCACATGGAAGCTAATGACCATCCATAACTCCAGTTCCAGGTGATCTAATGTCCTCGTCTGTCTTCCGTGGGCACTGCATGACATGGGTACACTTACACACATGCAGGCAAAACACTCATACACATAAAATAAATTTAAAAAGAGTAAGGGGCTGAAAACACCATCTAGTCATATTACAGTTACTGGAGACAGCTTTTCCAGAAAAGTCTGCTACCTCAGCAGCAGAACTAGAAACTAGGAAGAACGCCACAGCAAGCCCATAGCACTGGCACTCCAGGTACGGGAGAGGTTCCTTTGTGAGGTATAACTAATACATATTTGGGTCAAATGCCAAGATGTTTTAAGAACATATTATTTGTAGTTGAGATCAAATATCCTATCACAGAAGGAATCTCTGTACTTCAAAAAACACTGAAAAGTTTTATCTGTTTCAAAGAACTCTTCTGACACTGGAGACAGGGCTCAGTGGGTAAGAACATGAGCTGCTGTCACAGAGCACTTGGTTTAGTTGCCAGCTCCCACACCGGGCAGCTCACAATGGCGTGTGACTCCAGCTCCAAGGGACCTGACACCCTCTTCTGAGTTCCAGGGATACCTGCACTCACATGCATATACCCATACATATACACATATTTAGTAAGTGTATTTTTTACAAAAGAATTTTTCTGATCATTTCTATTTAATTTTTTGTAGGAAAGTTTTAGAAGAGTAGACCAATAATTTTCTTGCCTGATTACAAATGTAATTACCTCACAAAGTTTACATTATTTCCCCCAAAGTGATACAATGATCGATACTCTCCTAATATTGGGCCTTCCTGTCTATTTTGCTATTTTGCTAACAGTAGTTGCAATAATTATTTCTATACAACTCTGATAATTAACTGAACTGTTACTCTTATAGTCCTGTTGTATTTATAGCTAAAGGAATTGATAGTTTCAACAAATAAATCACCAGAGGAAATTTCCAATGACCTCTATTTTTAATGTAAAATTCAGCTTTTAAAAGTTACTGACACAAATTATATATAATAGGAGCTCAAATATTTTGTGACCCCATACAAGTTCAAGTGCCATAAATACTGTTCAACCACACTTCAAATTCCCATCTGAGTTCAGCACCTGTGATCACAGGGTCTGCTGCAACACTGAACACGTATCAAAGATTCTGTGAGCCTCTATACATGTACACATGCTGACTTTTGTGGATGAGATGTTATGTTCCTATGAGAGAGATTGAAATCAAAGCATGTGGCCTCCCCACGGAACGATCAGTTAGACAATCCCTCTTCTAGCCACTGAAACAGTATTCAGTTGATGTCGACTACAGTAGAGGAGCCTGCTCATCGCTTTGGAATAAATGGTCACTTTAAACCTGAGAACTGTTTTCTGAATGTGCCAGACCTGTGCTGTGAATACAAAATGGCATGACTTGTATGATTCTTGGACACACACATTAATTCTCTACGAAAGTCATAAAAATAAAGACCAAGTTCCTAATTCTTGAATTTTCCTGTAGCTACTTTTTGCAGATTCAAAAACAACATTCGGCAAGCACTGTGCAGTCCCAGTTATTTCTAAATCTGGCACATCCCCTGAGCTGTCACATCCCCAGTACACTTGAGGAAAACTCACCCGTTCAAGAAGCTTGAGACCCTAAGAAAATCAGAACTAGGAACAGAAAACATTTGTCATTACACACCCATCCCTAGTACTGTGTGTGAGAAGGGCTCCCATTGGACCAACAGATACTGCCTTCTGAAAGTGACAACCTACAAAGACCCCACTGGCTCTGCCAGGTGCCAACACAAGTAAATGCTGAACTGGAAAGGATATCATCACATTTCTTCTGGTATTCTGTCAGTAGGTTACTGCAACAAAGAGAAGAATTAGGCTATAGTAATATGCATTGCCTTGATTCCCCCAAAACATTGCACTGATATATGAGCTTTTAATTTGAAATCCCTCTGATCCATCTTGGCCTATTCATAGGACTATTACAGAATATTTAAAAATGAATCTCACATCATAGATGGACAGTATCATGGAAATTTGATACCTAGCATACGGAACATTTTTAGACAAAAAATAGTTTTTAAAATCCAAATGAGCAAAAACAAAGGCCCGTGAGCCACTGAACGAGAAGATCCAGGCTCTGAGGGTTATCTTACCTAAACCACTTAGCCCATTCTAGGGGCTTCAAGCCACCACCCGCTTGAGCCAGCTGGCCAGATGGACAAGGTTCTTCCAGACACTTGCATATGATATACTTACTCCGTGTTAATAATTTTCTGTTTCAAGGTGATCAATGCTTCAACATATTCATTTAAGTTCTGAAAGAGAAAAAGCTGCTGTTGGTCATTCCCTACCTGTACTTCGTCCACGCTTTATCACCCTGAACCAAGTTCTATGACAGAAAGACCAGCACTGGCTCCCAGCACAGCAGATCCATGCAGCCCTCTTCAGATTCTGTCTGAAGGCGGCTGCAGCCCTGGCTCTCCCTTCATTACCATGGGACCAATAATGCTCCTGCAACAGGCAGTAACTTTAAAGATGCTCCATGGTGTGCGCCCAATCCAAATGGAGTATTAGCCTGGCATCCCCCAGGGACTAACAATTAGCAGCCTTCACTTGCATTGTCTCTGAAAGGATTTGAGACTGCCCAAAACAACACAGAAACTAACAGAAAAACACAGCTCTATGGGGTTCTTGGGATCAGATTCAGGTCATCAGGCTAGTGTAAAAAGTACCTTTACCCAAGGAGCCATCTCCCCAGTCCCTCACTAACGTTTCTTAGTGATACTGAGAAATGTGCCCAATGGCTTCTAGACACCCTCCCCCTTTACAGCTGTTTAGTAGATCATCTGCTTGCTAGTGTGGCTGCACTTCTCAGCCACTTTCTTTGGTGCACAGCAGCCTCTCAGCAAACATACATGTACACACACTTGCTGATTGATCATCAAGTGTATGCACACAGACAACCACAAGTGTTTATTCACACAGCTGACCATGTCTTTGTGTTAAGCCTTTGTTTCCAGAAACACATTAGCAGGTTCTATCTTACAGCTCATGAGAACTATCTTATCACTTTGGCATCTGCATGCTTCTATCATCTCTGTGTCTAACTTCTGGGACTTACTCTGATATATCTGAAAACATATTGAACAGGCAGCACATGGGCTTATCAATAGGTTAGAATACTCAGCTTTCCATACTTCAAAGCACTTACTTCTCACTAAGCAACCTCCACACGAGCCACAGGGACCCTGGGCACAGAGAGAATCACCTCACAGGACAACACTGCTACCTTTCCAGGTGCACAAAGTTCCTTAAGTTATACACCAGAGCATAAATTGCCATGCATTTTGCATTTCACATTTCTACAGGGCACCGAACAGTACACAGCTGAAACCAACCTGAGAGTCTTGAGGCAGCTGCAGCACATGCAAAAGGCAAAGGGCCCCTAGTACAAGTGAGTCTGGCATGTGCATCAGCAGGAAGAAAATACAAGACCATAAACTCAGTTCACAGATGAACAACCTGCAACATCTCCTCTGCATCGAGAAAATGCAATTTCAGACAACAGACTTACTCATCAGTCCAAACTCAGAGCACGGGTGAAGGTGCTGGGGAGCTTCCAGTTTTGAACCCTCCAGTGGGAGCGCCCCACACCTCTGCTGAGATGGCCTTCCAAAGCCACTTCTACTGCCGTCCCCTGAGTGAACACCGGCTTCAATGTTCCTCTGACATGTCCTAATTGGGTCTTACTTCTGTGAAGGGATATGACTGATTTGTACTTGTTGACGGCCACAGACTTTTCATTTTACAACGTCACTTAAAGACAATTTGTGAAGTAGAATGCATGCAAAGTAAATTCAAGAGTATTAACAATTTACCCACAGATTCTCTGGGATATTTCTGTGACAACTATAGCAGGGCCCCATGACAGTGGCGCCTCCCTTACTGTCCCCTCTGTTCTCTTCTGCACTAAGGCTTCAGCACAACACTGGAGGGAGCAGCAGGCATCCCTGTCTTCACTGAGAACAAAGCCAGTCTGTCTCCTTCAATCGTGCCCTGAAACATCTATCTGGACTTTGCAAAAGCTTCCAGCACATATGAGCACTACGGTCTGGGAAGTCAATTTAGGCCTCTGTTCAGTTTAAACATGTGCGTTTCTTTCTCTTTTCCCTTTTGATCTCCATTTCTAAGTGGTACGTCTGCACTTTTTGTGCTCTGTCCAATACTCCTAATGTCATACATGACTCAAGAAATCAGGCAGATACTCTCTCTTACTAGTGAGGTAAGGTGAGGCATGGTGAGCCATGACTAGTAGTCTGCTTGCAAAGAGCTGCTGCTCATGGTGTCAGTGGCTGACAAATCTGCCCTGCCCCTACCCCCACCCAAGACATGCTGCAGTCACAACCCCTAACCTCCCACTTGGTACCCCACCCTCAGAATGACCCTCCTTGGAAACAAGGTCTCTGGAGATGTGATCAGAACACATTAGTGAACTCTAATTCAGATTTCTGATTAGAAAGGGGAGAAACATGCTGTTTGTATCCCTTTTGAAACTACCGAGGAATGTTTTCTTTATACAGAAGGTAAAATAAGGCTGAAAAACGATAAAGTCAAAGGGAGAGGAGAGGAGAAGGGAGAGCCGCTCCACGCCTACCGCAAAACCTCAAGCTCACAGTCGGTGATGTTTCCTCTGAGAGAGGTCAAGGAGGGTTGAACTCAAATGAGAACCAGTTGCTAGCTTTCTGCCAAGCCTTAGACCCCCCAACCCCAGCTTCCCACCATGCCTGGGGCGATAGGGTTCCTCCAGCATCCAGCCAAAAGCTGCCTTCCTAAGGTGTCACTGGGATGCCATGTGCACCTGGGTGAAGCAACCCTGAGCACAACCAGCCGAGACTGAATGCCAGGGCCTTGCTGCAAAGATCCTGGACAGAGGGACCCCTAGTCTCTATCCTCAGGAAAAATGGAGGTAAGATCTAAGAGTTGAGACGAGCTGCTCTTCCATCAATAAATAACTCATCACATCATCACACAATGACGTCCAGGAGCCCAGCAAACTCGGTTTCTAGCCAGTGTATCTGCCGGTTCTTAATGAACCAAAGATTTCCAAACACAAGGCCTCAGCTGCAGTGGAAGGAGGGAGACCAGATCAGGCAAGAGTGAAGTGAACAGAACCGAAGAGGAAAGCTCGGACACTTACTACCATCATCTGACACACTGGTGAAGCCATGTTTCAAGGGACACCCAGAGCGCTCGGAAAATCAAGCCCAGAAAGACCCACTGGCTTCCTCTCCAGACATCTTTGCTCGGAGAGGTTTTGCAAACACGTGAAAAGGGCCTGCCAAGACAGCAAGAGAGTGGGAAAATGAGGCGGGGGGCAGAAGATGCAGAGGAACAGAACCAGGGAAAGCAAAAGGGCCCTGCTTACAGCACGGGAGATCGTGGACACAGCAGTGGCAAACATGGGGGTGGGGGGCACAGGGACGAGATCAGGGGGTGGGTTCTGAGATAGTGAACCTCTCCTGTCTGGAACCTGTGCCAACCGTCCTGCCTCAGCCTTCAGACTGCTGGGATTACAGGCTCCTGTCACTACGCCATCTTTTCCAAAGCATTTTTATACCAAGCTGATGACAGGAAACACAGTCTGAGTAACGCACTGAAATCCTGTCTGAAACTGAAGGGCTTCTCCTTTTTCTTCTCATTCACTTTCCGGTTCCTTCCTGCTCCATCTGTAGTCTTCCCTGCCTGGCTTCCACATGCCACTCTGTAATATCAAGTACTACGCCAGAGACAAACTAACCTCACCACAGTGCCATACGAATCTGGATGACAAATTCCTGTTCCCTTTCTGACCAAGACTGGGGCAGACATGTACCCTGCACATGCCTCAGCATTCTGCTTTCAGAGAGGGAAACAGGAAAGCAGAGACCAACAGAGGGCACGCCATCTGACTGCCGGCGTTCGGTCAGTTCGATCTCTAACAGAGGGCACGCCATCTGATTGCCGGCGTTCAGTCAGTTCGATCTCTAACAGAGGGCACGCCATCTGATTGCCGGTGTTCAGTCAGTTCGATCTCTAACAGAGGGCACGCCATCTGATTGCTGGTGTTCAGTCAGTTCGATCTCTAACAGAGGGCACGCCATCTGACTGCCGGCGTTCAGTCAGTTCGATCTCTGGGAAGCAACAAGTGCTCAAGGAGACTCTTAGAATTGACAATTTCAATAAGACAATTACTGTGATAGCTAATCTTCATGGTCAACTTGACTAGATCTGGGTTCACCTAGATGTGCCCCAGGGTGTGTCTGTGAGGGCATCAGAGAGGGTGAACTGAGGCAAGACCCACTCTGAACACGGGCAGCACCACTTCATGAGCAAAAGTCCCATGCTGAAGAAGGAGACAGCAAGCTGAGCGAACAGTAACATTTCTCTCTCAGCTTCCTGACCTAGGACCTGATGTGATCAGCTGCCTCACACTCCCGTGCTACGTGTTCCCCACAGGGGACTGTATCCCCTCAACCACAAGTCAAAATAAAATCTTCCATTAGCTGTTGACAAGTTTTCTGTCACAATAATGAGAAAATTAACTAAAGTACAACCATCAAACAAGGCTTGGTGGCCTATGCCTGTAATCCCAGAACTTGGGAGGTAAAAGCCAAAAGATCAGGAGTTCAAGGTCATCCTCAGCGACACAGTGAATTCCACAGGCTAGGATACATGATACTGTCTTAACAAAAATTATTAATTAGGACAAACAAGAAACCATGCAGGAAACAGCCCAATGTCAATCCCAAGCACAGACCTTCACCCTTCCAGGACAGGGGAGGGGTCATAGGTGCAGTCAGGGGCAAGAAAGCAGCAGCCTCACCTTTCAGTGCTAGAAATCTCCATGTTTACAACTGAAAACCAAGCAAGGCATTCACTATTTAAAGTTCATTATAAAACATACATAATGCAGGTAGTTAAAAGTGACTTCTCCCAGGAAGGGAGGATGGGAAGGGCTGCAGGCTGACTCACACAATGCATAGTTGTCCCTCTCAACCACCACACAGAGTTCTGACTTGGGGAAAACCTCACAAATCACAGATCGGCATGCTAGGAGGGAAGCAAGGACCTCACAGTCACCCACTCCAGGCCTGCCTGACACTATTTCCCAAGACCCAGTTGCACGTCAGATGCATTTTGTCAGATACCCTATCATCTCTGGTCAGACACTGCAAAGTCCCCAGGTAAACATTCTTTTTTTATCTCCTCTTCCAATCTAGGTTCAAATGTCATTTACACCGTTTGAAATGAAGCTCTCTCAAGAATGAGACTGGCAGAGTATGAATGGGGGAGGGTATCTTGGGTCCCTTCTGACCCACACTGACAGATGCAAGTGGGACTCAATACTGACCAAAGTCTAGGCAGAGAACTCTCCTCCACCTCAGAAATGTTACGGTGGTTTCTTTTTTGAATGTTAATTCTGGATTTACTGTGTGTGTGAATGTCTGCCTGTATGTATGTAAGTGCACCACATGCATGCAATGCCTATGGTGGCCAGAAGAGGGCATCAGATGCTCAGGAACTGGAGTTAGGGATGGTTGTTGGCTGCCACGTGGGTGCTGGGAACTGAACCCAGGTAAAGTGCAGCCCATGCTCTTAACCTCTGAGCATCTCTCCAGCCTAGTGTGGTCTGAACACTGCTTCTCTCTCGGGAGTCCTGATTTCTTCTGGAGCTTCTATGCTTGGGAGACCCTCATGTGACATGCTCACAAGCACATCTCCTGCTTGGGGAATGTCTGCATAGTCTTGTGGGTTGGACACCATGAATGTAAGAAGACCAGAGTCTTAAGTGTTCCATATTCCAAACAGACCTAGGGAGTTCAAAGGGACTCCGGGTGCAGTGCCGCCAGCTGAGAGTCTGGATGCACCATCTAACTACTACCACCTTCTGTGTCTTTGCCACCTAGACGATTTCTTCAGGCTACACAGTGCTCCTCACACAGTTCTCCTGGCAGCCCGTTTTCTCACATGGGGCTTTCTTTCCATTTACTCCCGTTTCAATTTCATCTATGCAGCATGGCCCAAACACCATAAATACTGCTGCCCAGGGCCTCTCTCTCTCTGGCTGAGCACTTGGTGTGGAGGGACTTGAAAGGACAGTGTTGGACAGCAGCAGGCAGGAGAAAGAGCAGGTAAGCAGCATGGCTGGGAGGAGGGTGACACTGAGCAAGTGAGGCAAGCAGATGGCACAGCAGACCAGCGCACACAGGACAGCAGAGAACACTCATGAGACAAGGAGATGCCAGGCATCAGTCCTGTGTCCACAGGCTCCATGTCACCAAGTTCAACTGGCACAGATGAAATCTGGCAAAAGTTGGGCATGGTGACAGAGATCTTTAATCCCAGCACTCAGGCAGCAGAGGCAGGGGGATCACTGTGAGATCAAGGCCATCCTGGGATGGTTTACATGGCGAGGTCCAGGCCAGCTAAGGCTACACAATGAGAACCTGACTCTTTGTCTCTCTCTGAAGAGACCTATATGTGTATGTGTGTGTATGTGTGTGTGTGTGTGTATGAAAATTTTTTCTGGACTGAACAGACAGACTTTCCTATCACTAAGCAATAAAGTATAACAGCTATTAATATTTATACAGCATTTGTGCTGTATTGGGTAAAACAGGTAATGGAGCTAATTTGGAGAACAGGAGGTGTGCACACGTAAAAAACACAGGAGTTTATCTACCTGCACATCCGTTACACCTGGGGGAAGGACTTGACGTCTTCAGCCCACCAGGAGTCTTTGGCCCCAGCACTGCAGGGAGTGCAGCAGAGCCACAGCAGGCCTAAGTACTTTGTAGGAAACCTGCTTACCCGGAAAGGCTTTTGCCTGGAATTGGAAACAGATTTCCAGAAGGTTCCCTCCTAACATCCCCTAAACTGATGAGAGTGCCTAATGTGCTCAAAATGCAATGGTTTATTTTTGGCACCTGCGCGTCTTTCCAGAGTCTGGGATTCGGGTATGTGCGAGACAGAGGGCACCCATGTGACCAGGCCCCAGCGAAAGAGCCAAACATCAAATCTCTGTCTTCCCTGCTGAAACCACTCCAACCACTGAAGAAGTTCAGCGTGCTCCTGTGACTCCACTGAAGACTCCGGGAGCTCAGGCCCGCCTTTCCTCACCTGGTACCTTCCCCCTTCGCTGACTGCTGACTTCCTCTAATGGACCAAGCCTACAAGTACAACTATGCACCGAGTGCTCGGAGTGCAGCTAAGGACTTACAGGACCCAGGCAGGGACTTGGGGAACCCTAAAAAGTAGGACATCTGTCCTTGCCAAACTCTCCTGAAGAATGAGAGGGTCTACCTTCAAACTTGCACAAACATGGAAAACAGAAAATGAGGCTGAAAAGCCAGGACAAAGGGAGAGCACTCACCTGCGAGGCACTTCAGCCAGAAGGGGAAAAAAGCCTTTATTCTTGGACTAGGAAACAAATCCAAAGGGGCCCTGGGATTACACTGAACCTGAGGCATTAAGGCGTGGGGCTACAGGCTGACTGTGCTGCAAGGGGCAGGCCTGCTCTGCCACCATCTCTGATGGTCCAGGCTGTCTTCTTCAAAGACCACTTACCCTGCAGAGCAGCTGGATTTCCTCAGACACTGGTAGTTTTCAGTTTATGAGACACGACATACGCCTTTTTCTTTCTCACCCCTCCCCCCAAACTTTCAGCCCAAGAACGCAGTGCCTAAACTAAACTGCCTCTTCTTTCCTTCCCTAGTACAAGATTCTATTTCACAAATCTTAAATGGGCTATAAATGCCCAGTCAAACACTACTGTAAAACGTCAGCCCCACACTTCCAATACCCTTTCCACCCTGCCTTGCTCATCCTTCCTTCCTCCACCAGTCTGTAGTTGTAAATCTTGGTACCTCCTAGTTGCAACAAGACAGCCACCCTCTGTGGTCAGCTTCTCCAGTTCAGAACCTTTCCCTCCACTGCCATTCCCAGGGTCTTCAATCTCTACAGGCTATCATTAGCATAATACCTTACCCTCAGCTTAGGTACCCACCAAGGGCACCCCTGCACCCTACACCCAATACTCCTATACTCCGCACCATGCACCCCACACCAGTGACTTCTACTATAAACTGTGCTTTGATGTGCTTACTGACAAAAGCCTCCATCTCTCCTTAACACAGAAGCCCTAACCATGCCGTCATCTGCCAGAGACCCATCTTCCCAGAGACACGGCTCAGAGCCGAAATCCCTGAAGCCCCAATGGAGCAGCCAGCAGGCCTCCTGCATTCAGTGTTGGTTGCTTCCACACCTCTATGGCAACTAAGCAGGTGTGAGCAAGCCAAAGCACGATTATTTATGATCTTTCCCCTTAAAGAAATACTCGGAGACTTGGCAGTGGTTCTGGGTGCCAACAGCGGTGCTGTGGCATGGAGGAAAGCCCTTGGGAGGCAAAGGCAGCAACTTCTAGGCCACAGGTTAAAAAGGCTCTTACAGTCAAGGCAATTAAAGGGCGGGTGGGGGGATGTAAAGGTGGTGGAGCCAAGAGAAGCAGTTGACAGACTGAACACAGGCTGTCAGAGCAGAAAGAGGAAGGCCCCAATTTCTGGCCTAAGCAACCTGAAGGTCTTAAGGCCACTGCTGACTTCACTATCAGGGGACTCCTACTAGGAGACAGGAAGGCAGCTCTGAGGGCGGAATAGTACAGTTCTCAAAACCATCCTGTGCAGACACTTCGAATGACTCGGTGCCCAGTCAGAGGAGCCCATACAGTGGTACATGCAGCTCACACAGTTAGCACCCCTGTTCCCTTTCCAAACTCAAACTCTGAGCATTCCGTGTGCACTCTGACCTCACAGGCCCTCTGGCTCTTCCAAGCACACCAGGCAATCACCCACTCCAAGCCTTGAGCCTTTCACTTTTCCAAAGAAATCAACTGAACTCATTTTCTTTGCTCAAATGTAACTTCCTCAGAACCCCCTAAACCCTAACAGTCACTGGACCGACTCTTTCCCTCCTAGTTTCCACTCTACCATTAACATATATACATGTGTAACTAATGTACAGAACACCTATCACTGTAATCTAACACAGCTTTTGTCTTTTCCCTACACTGCAGTACGTAAAGCAGCAGAAGCTCCAAGTTTTTGATTTTTGAGTGAATGGACTGGCTCAGATAAGTACAGTTTAAGATTCAGGAGCATCAGGAGCACACCACTTGAAATCTCGAAATTTGAGGGGGACGCTTCACACCAACACAATGCAGTCTGACTCAACTTTCCACCTGGACTGCCAGCTTATTTCCTATCTCGTGTTCCCAACATGTAGAATGTCAATCAGTTCAGAGATACCCAACGTTATCTATCACAGCTCAGTCTGCATCCCCTTCGGATTTCATTGCACCGACCATGCCCGCTCCACAGACTCCAGTCCAAACCCCAGCTCTTTCGCACGACAGAAACCATCCCACCCGTGAAGAGGTTCTTCTCAATAAACCTCTTTTGCCATTGCCTCAAAAACACCCTGGCCACCTCAACATCCTCGTCGCAATACCTAACCTACCAAGTCTTACTGACGTCCACCTGGTTCACAATGTCCACAGTGCGGAGCAGGAAGGGGATGAGGCGATTGGAGGAAAGGCTGAGTTTCATTTTTAACGCTGATGGACGTTAAGTGGGGCTCAGAGAATGGCGCTGCTCGGGGAGTCGTGGGGACTATTTTCACACACACACACACCCACACAAGACGCGGGAGCCAAGCAATCGTGAGAACAAAGCATGGTACTGTAACAAGCTTCCTCCCTTATTCACTCTTAACACACTTTAATCAGGCAATTACGTTATTTGACCAAATCAACTATTCGATTTCCCTGAAAATAAGCTTGACACTGCAGACAATAGGCGTCAGCTGAAATGCGGCCTCAGAATCCTGCAGCTACCCAGATGTGCATGCGATCCTGCCTCCAATCACACAAGCTCGGCAAGGCCAAGCAGAGGACACCGTCACCCACCCCTGCGCTGCAGCCCGAGCTGGGCCCTCGCAGGCCCGCAGAGCACGCCCACCGCTCCCCCGCCGCCCGGGGAGTGCGCCGCGGGCCTAACAAAGCCCGGGAACCGCCCCCGACCCCGGGACTCGTACGGCGCGGCCCCGCGGAGCGCGCGTGCACGGCCCCCGGTCACCCGCGCACCTGCTGCAGCGA